ACTTGAACAGTGTTTTGAATAGCTTGAACTATAACTTTGATTTCCCCTGTATAATCAGCATTGATGACACCGGGCAAAACTTGGAGACCTTTTAAGATGAGACTGCTGCGGCCTCACAAGGAGTCCCACTGTTCCTTGAAGCAAAGTCCACAGACTCCAGCAGGAATAGCCTGGCGTCCCATTTCAGGAATTAGTTTGAATATGGAGGAGGGACTGAGGTCCAAGCCTCCACTGTGTTTTGTTGCTCGCCAGAGGACAGAAACATGCTTTGTGGTAAGGGTAAGGTTGGAGAGGATTTAGGGAAAGCGCCCCCACTGTTTGGATGGGCTGGGGCAGGCCTTGCCAGAAGTTTCTCAGAATAGGTCAGTTTTCCACATTCGTCTGAGATCTCCACTCATTTGCCCCATGTTTTCTTTGTCTACATCTTGTACATATACTAGGAGGTCTTGCTTAAGAGATGAATGATGGCTGCCTTCCCTTCATGGGTGCAGCAGAGAAACTTCAGGAAAATGTCCCCTGCCTCTGCAGCTGAAGCAAGTAACCTTTTGCTTCCTTTTCTTCTAGGCTACGGATGAATAGCCTGAGTGATGCTGCTGCCGAGGCAGCCCCTTGTAGGTATGAGGGGCCAATGTCTGCACAAATCCAAGTCATCTCAGACAACATAGCCTGCTTTTTATGGGCTCATAACACCTCTTTACACCATTTATTTGTATTTTCAAAGGTCAGTTGTTGAACAATTAATTTGTTAGCCTCTAAAATGTCTAAAATCCTCTCAGTAGCCTGCAATATGCATGCTACAAAGTCTTGGAAAGGTTCATCAGCACTCTGGCAGATAGAGGTCAGATTAAGGGACCTCTCACCCTTTGAAGAAAGTTCCCTGCATGCCTTTATGGCAGCCATTTTAACTTGTTCATACGCTCGGCGTTCAAATGTTAGTTGATTGTTTGTGGCAACAAAGGCACCTCCTCCAGTTAACCTATCTTTTGTAATGGCTATGTTGTGAGCGGCATTGTGAACGGCCTGACCCGTGCACAATTCAAAAAGTTTTCCTTCTGTAATAAATAATACCCTGGACTCCAACATGCTTTAGCTATCCCTTTCTAATCATTTGGGGTCATAACTTGTTGTCCTATAAGCTCTATTAAACCTAAGGTATAAGGGGCCATGGCTGTGGTGCTATAGGTAGCGCTAGCTTGTTGTAATTTTTTTTTTTTTTTTTGTGGTACTGGGGATTGAACTCAGGACCTTGTGCTCGTCAAGCAGGTGCTTGTGCCACTGAGCTATATCCCCAGCCCTTGTTGTAATTCTTTTAGGGTCTTAAAAGGTATGGCTTCATGAAGACGTCTGACATGTCCTGGATTAGTAGGGATTTGGACTTCATCAACAGGGTAGATATGTTGAAATTCCTCCTTGGACTCACCCACCTGTCTGGCTTCTTTTAACGCCAAATGCAAGGGAGAGAGAGAGGGTGATTCCTTTCCCTGAGAGGCAGAAGTTTTGACCTGTGATGCAGCAGAGTTTCCCTGAGCTGAAGAGGAGGAAGTTGCCGCTGGTAATGCAGTTAATGTTGTCGGTTTTACCTTGGGCAGCCACGAAACTGAAGCCACAGCGAAACGCTCCTCTACTGCGCAAAGGTCTGTTTTGGCCCCGCCATTCCTTCCTTATCTGATTGAGCCAAGCTAGAGGGTTCAAGGTCTACCAGTGGGGCTGTTGCCTTGTTATTCCTTTTCTGCTCAGGTCGTTTTAAAATAGTGCTCCAAGTGGATTCCTCTGTGCTCCTCCCAACAGGCGCATGACTGTCGAGACACTCCCTGACCCAGGTCCACAGAAGCTAAGTAAGCGCGGAAATCCATAATGGAATGAGGATTTGTATACACATTTGTTGTCCTTGAGAACCTACTTGCCTCACGTTTAACACTTGATAAAATCAATGCGCCTCTCTCCCTTTTGTTTTTTTGTGATTCTGTTTTGCTCTTTTGGTTCTAATGAGCCCATTTTTCTCTCTGGCCCAAGTGAGCCCTTTTTTTGTTTGTTTCCCTCACTTAAGCCTGTTTCTCTCCTTGGCTTTGGCCTATTTCTCTCCTTGGATTCTCCTAAGCCTGGTTCTCTTCTTGTGCACACATAGCTAGAAGTCTCCTCTTACCTGTTATCCGATGTGTTTCCTTGCTCCCTGGGTCCCTGTTCAGACGCCAAAATGCTGTGTTCTGTACAGTTCTCGATGTTCCCAGGGTGAGGATGCTGAGAGGATGGAGAAAAACGGACAAGAAGTGGAAGACAGAAAACTGAGGCCATGTGGAGCCCTCTCTCCTAATGGGAAGGAAGAAAGGGAGAAGGAGGAAGAGGAGAAGGAGAGGGCTCCAGTAGCCACAGCAGTTTATTTATACACTTGGGAGGTTGACTATCACGTGAAACCTCTCTGCCTAATAGTTTATCCACATGGCTTGTCTCAGGCACCGTATTCTTGAGGCTGGCCTTGACTGGATCTCCAGCTTCAGCTGCTTTCCACACAAAGCCAGCCTTGACTACAGAGCGAGAACCTATCTCAAAAAATAAGAAATGAAAATTAGCCAGGTGTGGTGGCACATGCCTGTAATCCCAGCACTTGGGAAGCTGAGGCAGGAGGATTGTTGTGAGCAAGATCAGCCTGGGCTACAAAGTAAGTTCAAGGCTGACCTGAACTGCATAGTGAGATCCTATCTCAAAAAGACAAAAAAAGAAAGAAAGAAAGAAGGAAAATTCACTTGCCTTTTTTTTTGTTTTTGTTTTTTTGTTTTTTTTTTGCAGCGGCGGCGGGGGCGGGGGTTTCTGGTACTGGGAATTGAACTTACAACCTTGCGCTTGCCAGGCAGGTGCTGTGCCGCTCAGCTCAATCCCCAGCCCCTTAACTTGCCTTTGGTGAACTCTCACAGCTCGATGCTGGGTAGTGAAGAGTAGCTCCCTTGGGGGCTCTCATCTTTGGGGTCTATGCACATTGTGTTTTGGCTCCGTGTCATCCAGTACCCCACAGGGGCTCTTGGGCTCCTGGATGGGGACCTGTGGCTGAGTGCAGAGTTCATATCCTTCCTGGGGGCCCAAGTGCTGTCAAGCTGCTATCTTTTTGGAAGAGTCACCACCAGTCATAGCCTGGAAAAATAAAAGGTGGTGGCAGGGTCGTTGTGACCTAGAACTGAGCAAAATACTTCTAATCGGTCTGGCCAACCGGCCTTGGGATGGGGCTTGGGTCCCAGGGTGGGGGTGGGGTCGGTTGAATCTTCCCAGCTCCACATGTGGTCACTCATGCTGCCAGGCAGAGATGGGAGGTTAAGCTCTGTCATGGCAGAACTGCAGGGGACCTAGTGCCAGGCCAGAGGGCTACGCAGGAAACCACAAAGCCCTCCCAGTACTCGGTCAGAGATGGTGTGAGCTGCTCTGTGACACTGCACTCCTGCGTATCAGCCCTGCTGTGACGCTGCAGATATGCATGTTTGTGTAAGACAAGGCCTTGCTGTGTAGCTCAGGATGACCTCAAACTCTCAGAGATCCTCCTGCCTCAGCCTCCTGAGTGCCCAAACTACAGATTTCCACCAACAGATGGATGGGTGACCAAACCAGTTCAGCATCCAGTGAGGCTCCTGAGACCCACACACTTGCACACCTCCCCTGCTTGTGGGTGTGAGGAGTTCCCACAGGGTCTGCAGCTCCCTCCTCTCACCACAGCGCCCTCTGCTCCCTCTGCTGCCAGAGCCTCCCGTGGGCTCCTCCCGTCTCCCTGCACACCGCAAGGGGAAGTTTCACGCATACTGCAGGGTTCATGCACTTCGGTACCATGCATGTCGCTGGGTGTGGTGGCACACCCTTGTAATCCTAGCACATGGGAGGTTTCGCCCACCAAGGGCCCCTGGGGTCCCCGGGAGTCCCTGTGGGAATGGCTCGGGAGCAGTGTGGCTCCCAACCCCCCCGAAAGTGATTGGAGCTTTGTTCTTCAGAAGTCTTTCTTTGTTAAAATAAGGTTTTCTGAGTCCCTGTTTGCAGTGCACGATGGTCGCAGTGCTCGCAGGGCTGGGTGCGTGCGCACGGTGTTCCTAACTCTTCCCATCAGCCCTGTGTGTCCCCTCCTCCATCGCTGGGCTCTTCCTGTTTACAAAGGCCCGCCTCCCTGCTTCCTGTCTTTTACTTTGCTCTTTGTTCATGTTTTGGGTTTCTCATAGAAGAGAAACCACACAGTATTTAAGCTCGTGTGTCTGCTGTACTTCACTTAACATCATGGTCTCAAGGTGCATCCACTGCCTGCAAATGCCCTGTTTATCCTTCTCTATGGCAGCGTAGTGTTCCATGATGTGAGAACGCATTTCCTGTAGCCATTCATCTAGTGATGGACAGGCCGCTTCCAAGGCTTAGCTGTGATGAATTGTGCTTTGCAGAGCAGGATGTGGTGGTGTATGGCTGTCATCCCAGCGGTCTGAGAGGCTGAGGCAGGAGAATTGCACATTTGACCTCAGCCTGGAGAACTTAGCAACTTAGTCTCAAAATAAAAAAATTTAAAAAGGGCAGGAGATGCAGCTCAGTTCAAAGGTCCTGGGTTCAGTTCCAGGACAAGAAAACAAGACAACACCCGCCCGCCATGTGACCCTGGCTTCTTCTGGTGGCTTTGCCCTGCCTTTGTCCCACTGGGTGCCGTTGGCCTGTTCCGTTCCTTCTCTCCTGGCCATGACCGGGGCTGCCTGTGTGTGGGAGGAGAGTACAAGTCGCCTGGGAGCTCTGTTACTCAGGTGGGGCCGGTGCCTGGCACAGTAGGCCTTTGTTTCTCTGAGCGCTCAGGAGAGACACTGCCAGTCTCGCTGTGTAGCCCAGACTGGCTTTGAACTCTAAGTGAACCTCCTGCCTCAGCCTCCTGAGTGCTGGGATGCCAGCGTGCTGCCCACTTCCTGGGCGCGGCAATGTCCTCGCCATGGATCTTTGTCTGTGGCTTTGTGCTCCAAGCCCGGTTGCCTTCCTGTGGCTGCAGAGGGCTCTCTAGGAGGAGCGGTTAGACAGATCGGCCTGTACCTGAGTGGAGAGCGCCGTGACCCGCTGCGCTCCAGTTCTGAGAAACACAGGGCGGCCCTCGCCTTCTGACGCGGCGGGCTGGGCGGCGGGGCTCACTGGCACAGTGCCCCCGGGTGCTTCACTCTGTGTGTGTGTGTGGGCGCCTCTCCCTCTGGGCTCCCCCGCCCCCAGCTGGTGTCTGGCTGACCGGCTGGCTCCGCGGGGCGCCAGGCGCACCCCACCTTCCTGGCCCGGGATCAAAGCGCAGCGAGGAGGCGGCGGCGCCGGGCGCTTCCTGTCCTCCGGGCTCTGCCGGCTCCCGCCCGCTCGCCTTCGGGGCTGTCCGGCCTGAGCGAAGGTACCGTGTGCGAGACTTCGGTGCAGGCGCCGCTCTAGGAGCGCAGCGGCTCCTGCTGGGGTAGGCGCGGCGGGCGCGGGCTTTGACGAGGGGGCCCGCGCGAGTCCCCCTGCGCTGTCTGAGGCTGCGGCGCGCCCATGGGCGCGATGTGCCCGCGGGCGCACGGCGTTGTGAGCGGGGTCGGCCCGGGAGCCCCGAAGAGCCTTCTGCTGGGCCCTGCAGCAAAGCTGAGCGGGGAGCGCTCCTCCTGGCGTTTGCTCTGCAAGCTGCCCGCTGTCGTTCATTCCTTGCTGCACCGTCGGAGCAGGGGAGCTACTGGCTTCGTGGCTGTGTTCCCTGAGCTCAGAGGCGTCTCCGTGACTGCCCTCCCGGGTCCCGCCCGGCCCAGCCTCACCTCTCCCCACCAGCACCTGCCAGGCGGGCGCGCATCTGCATCAGAATGCGGCTTCCTGCGCCTCACAGCGCTCAGAGGAAGCGTCCCGCAGGCTTAATGCCTTTATGGCCACGTCGTATATCTGGAGCTGCTGGGGCTCCCAGGCCCCTGCCGTCCCTGCCTCGGGAAGCGCGGGGGTGGGGGCTGCTGTGCGCCCTTTCAGTTTTTCGCAACTTTGGACTCGGAAGAAACGCCACGGGGATGTTGCTGCCCAAGTCTGGTCATGGGGAGGCCAGAAGAGAGGTTGAGCGGGGGAGTTTGGGGTGCTCTGGGGAGACTTTCGGCAGGGAAAGGTCTGTCACCTTCACCACTGCCCTGCAGGCCCTGGGAGGTGGCCAGGGATTCAGGTGGCGGCAGTGTCCCCTTGCAGGGTGGTAGGAGGTCTGGACAAATTTGGGACGCACGGAGAGGAGAGGAGACTGGAGGGGCAGGCACCCCACCTTCTCTGCCTTGATTACCTCAGGCCCTGGGGGTCTAAGTAGGGGCCTCAACATCCCACGGTTCACGGCCTGAGGCCACCTGGGCTTGTTGTTGTACCTTGCTGACATCCTAGCACTGAGAAGGCTGAGGCAGGAGGATCCCTGTGAGTTTGAGGCCAGCCTGGGCTGCATAGCGAGACCCTGTCTCAAAAAACCCAAAAATATAAATGTATTTTATTAGCACAAGTTTGCAGGGTGTAGCGAGTACTTTCACTGCAGGGAGTGAGAATACCCCATGTCCTAGTCCCTCCCTCCCTCTGCCCCTCCCCCTGTCTCTAGGTCTCCTTCCCTTTTGCTAATAGTCTGTCTTCTTATTTCCTATGATCTGTCTTTTAGTTTACTCTTTGGTTATACTTCGGGCGTCTCATATAAGAGAAACCATGCAATATTGGAGCTTATGTGTCTGATTTATGCCACTTAACATTATGATCTCAAGGTGCATCCATTTTTCTAGAAATGACTCAAGTTTAGCCTTCTTTATGGCAGCACAGTACTCCACTGTGTAAACATCATATTTTCTTTATCCACCCATCTGCTCATGGATATCCAAGCTGCTTCCAAGATGTAGCTACAGGATTGTGAGTTGTGGGAGTGCAGGGATCACTGTGATATGATGTCTTTAACTCTCAGACACAGAGTTTCCCCTCAGCATGCCCCCTGGAAGCTGCTTTGCACTGTATCTGCAGCCCCAGGGCAGGCTCATGCTGTTTCACACCATCCTTGTGTGTTCCCTGCCACTCCTCTCTATCCTGCCCTCCCTTCTGCCTTCCTGTACTCCTCTGCACTCCTGTCAGCAGACAGGGTGCAGCCCCAGCCTCGACATGCCCTTCTGGGCCCTCTGGGAGTGACAGGCCCTCGCCCGTCTCAGCTCCCCATCGGAGCTGGCCTTGGAGGCAGAGCTGCGTCCTGAGCAGGCCCAGCCCCCAAGAAGCTGTCCTTGGGCTGGGGCAGACCCAGCTCTGTACTGAGACCCTGGAGCCAGCTGCGCTGTTGCTAGGGGCAGCCCGGAGGTGGGTGCAGAGTCTCTTGTCTCTGGCAGCTGCCCTGGCCTCTGAGGGGCTGGCAACATGTATGAGTTTCCCGTGACCCTTGAGGAGCGGTGGCCTGAGGGACCAGGCCAGCACCCAGAACCCTCGTGGGAAAAGAGGGAGAGTGACTTTTTGCCCACGTGCTTTGCTGTAGAGGACCCATGCTGGATGCTGTAGGAGGGGCCCCTTCTGGCTGTGAACACAGCAGAGGACAATTGTGTGTCCAGCAGGGGCACCTGGGCCGGAAGAGGTGCTACCCCGTCATCTCTTGGGTACTATGGTACAACCACAGAGGTACCCACCTGGGGCTCCCAGACTCTGGGTTGTGGATCTGATGACTTTTTTGTTTTGTTTTTTGAGACAGGTTCTGGCTGTATAGCCTGGGCTGGCTTTGAACTTTCTGTGATCCTCCTGCCTCAGCCTCTGGAGGGCTGGGACCACAGGCGTCCGCCACCCCACAGCTCCATTTGGGTTTTTGGCTTTGGCGTCCGGCCATGAGCTGGGCTCTCCTTGGTCTGCATGTCTCGCTCCCTGCAGGTCAAGTTCAGGGTTCTGAGAAGCCACGGGTGATGTGCACCTGCGACCTGGCCTGCCATGGTCCCCGCCTGAGCCCTCCTTGCCTGGCAGGTGTGGTGGTGGCCAGGTCCTGTGTGCAGACAGAGCACTGCCTGGCTGGGGGGAGGCTCCCACGCCCCATGTCGCTTCCAGATCCTCAGGCAGAAGTGACCAGAGCTCCACCAGGTCGCAGCCAGCCTGTGCGCCTGTTCCCTGGCAGTGCGAATCTGTGGCTGTGATGCCAAGTGCGCCTGAGTGTGGAGCACGGGGCTCTGCCCTGCCTCTGTGCACTTCACACAGTAAAGCTTGGTGGAGACGCGCCTGAATCCCAGGGCTGTGGGAGGCTGAGGCAGGAAGGGGGCAACTTAATGACTTCCCAAGAGTCTGACTCAAAATTCAAAACCAAGGGCAGGGGCTGCAGCTTAGTGGAAAAGCACTGTATTCAATCCCCATTCCCACAAACAAACATAAACAACAACAAAAAAGGCAAAACAAATTGCTTTGGGTTTGTTTAGTGTTGCAGGAGGAGATTTCTATTTTTAAGATTTCTATTCTAAGTTTTCTGAGTTTGAAAACTTTCCCCTTTTGTTCTTTTTGCCTGGGGCACAACCTGCAGCCTCCACTGTCCTTCCCTTTTGTGCTTCCTTTCTTTTTGAGAGAGCGTCTTGCTATGTAGCCCAGGCAAGCCTCAGCTCAAAGCAATCCTCCTGCCTCATCCTCCCCAGTGCTGGGATTGCAGGTGTGCACCACCCCGCCTGGCTCTGCTTCCATTTCTTTTCCTTCTCTGAGGATTTGTGCCTCTTTGGAACTGATCATCAATTACCCAAGCTTTACAAACCCCAAGAAGGCAGTAGGTCAAGAAAGCAAGCAGAACCCAGCTTAGTGGCGAATACTTATAGTCCTAGCACTCTGGGAGGCTGAGGAAGGAGGGTCCCAAATTTGAGGGCCCAGTCTGGGAGACATAGCAACTTACTGAGACCTGTCTCAAAACAAAATAGAAAAAGGGGAGGGGATGTAGCCTCACACAAGGGCCTGGGTTTCATCCCCGCTGCAGCCAAAGGAAACAAAATATAAATAGACAGGGTCTCTCAGATGGAGCTGTGGGTGTGGGGCCCCCACCTCTGCACCCTTCAGCGCTTGCTGTTTGCTGGGCTGATTCCTGCCAGGTCCTCCCGCAGCTCATTCCAGACAGTAAGCAGAGCTGTGGGCAGGAGTCGCGGCCGAAGGTGGAAGGCAGTGCCTTCGGGTTTCCACTGGGGTTGGTGTGGAGAGGGGAGCAGGAAATCCACACAGGCACCAGTACCTTTCCCTGCCTGAGCGAAGCCACCGCCGCTGCAGGCGCCACGGGGCGCCTGGGAGCTGCTGCTCCAGCCGCAGAGCGGGGAGGCACGGTCCCTCTGGTCCCGAGTCACAGGGACGGCGGCGGTTTGCCAGCGTGCAGCCTGGCCCTGGACGAGGCAGGGACAGTGTCAGTGCGGCATCTTGTGCTGTTCGTCAAACCCACCTTAAAAGTCAAATGGACGGCGCACAAGAAACACCAAAGTGCAAGAAGGATCGGATCACCTAGTGTGTTTCCTTTCTTCCCTTGAAAAGCGTTTGTACCTTTCTGTTCTGGTATCTGTAGTATTTTTTGTAAAATGACATCAGGAGTCTGTCAAGAAAGAACCATGCATATGTTTAAAAATGGTTTCTAGCCTGGGTGTGATGGCCCAGGCCTGTAATCCCACAACTTAGGGAGGCTGAGGCAGGAGGATTGCACAAGTTTAAACTAAGCCTGGACAACTTAGCAAGACCTTATCTCAACATAAAATTTAAAAAAATTTTTTTAAGGAGTTGAGGAGTTAGCTCAGTGTGAAGGCCCTAAATGTTGAATGCCCAGTGCTACAGAAAATAAAGACATTTTAAAAAAATAGGCAAATCTGTAGTGAGAGACAGTAGCCCATGGTGGGCAGGAGAGTGGGGGTGTTGGTTAGTATCAGCTATGGGAGTTCTTTAGGGGTGATAAAAGTGTTCTAAAATGGATTATATCAGAGTTGGGTGGTGGCACCCACCTGTCATCCCAGCGCTTAGACTGAAGCGGGAGGATCACCACAAGTTCAAGGTCAGCCTGCCTGTAAGCCTGTGAGACTGTTTGAAAAAAAAAACACAATAACAAAAAATTTGATTGTATTATGGTTGCACAATGCTGAAAATCCCCCAAACCACTGAGTTGTATAGGTCATTACATGAATTGTATCCCAATGAGGCTGCTACAGAAAGAAAAAATAAGGGTAGTTTACCTCCGGAGTGGACTGGGTGATTTTCCTGCCCCCTTTTGTAAGGCAGGCTTTGCGGATGTGACTGTGTGTGATGGAAAGACCTGCTAGACTGAGCAGTCACAGGGAGGGCTAATGGGCAGCAAGCGCGGGAAAGGGCAGTCATTGGTCGGGCTGCAGGGACAGGCTCTCTCCCGCCTCCGCGGGGGGCCAGAGCAATTTCTAGGCAGCTCCGCCCGGGACGGGCTGGGCCAGGCAGCGCTGGCCTGGCCAGGGTTGTTACTTATACAACTTCCTGCAGTCTCCCTGCAGAGCCGAGCTGCCTCTCCTGCGAGCCCTCCTCCCTCCGGCTGCGGGCTGCGGATGGAGATGCCGCTGTGAGCCTGGCTGCTCCCGCCCGCCCGAGATGGGGAACTCGTACGCCGGCCAGCCGAAGAGCACGCGCTTCGAGGAGGTGCTGCACAGCTCCATCGAGGCCTCGCTGCGCTCCAGCAGCCTGGTGCCGCGGCCCATCTTCTCCCAGCTCTACCTGGAAGCCGAGCAGCAGCTCTCCTCACTGGAAGGTAGGCAACGCCGGGGGTTGGCTTTGCTTTTGCTGTGCGGTAGGTGCGAAAGCCAGACGGCTTCCTCTGCCACCCCGCGCTGGAAATGTTGAGCCCAGCAGAAAGAAATCGTGCACTGCTTGCCTGTAAGGAAGTTTTAGCCAACAAAGTGGGAGAAGTAAAACTTAGAGCAATGGAAGAAAGGACGGGGATGACACCCGAGGGTTCGGAAGTGGCCTGTCTTTATACTCTCACGAGAAGTCTCCACGTTTCGGCTTTCCGTGAGAATTTCTGACACACCTTTGGGCCTCTCTGTATACCTGTTCTCTGTCCGGTGATTCGGAGCCCTACCTTTGCAAAGGTGTCTACATAGTTTCTTGTGATAGGAGCCACAGGGAACGCTTTAGAAGTTTTTAAGAACAGGAGCAGTCTTGCACACATTTATGACGTGCCAAGAATAAATAATTAAATAATCTTTGGAGTGACTTTAGGATTTGCTGAACTAGCCAGAGAATCAACCATTGTAGCTTTTAATAGCTGTGTATTTTTATGTTGACAGTAAGCCTGAAACAATCTATAGTATGAGACAGCTGTGGTGTTAGAATTTCTATTTGTAAGTGTATGCCTTATTTATTTTTTTGAGACAGGGTCTCACTTTGTAGTTTGGGCTGGACTTGAACTCACTATGTAGCCCAGCCTGGCCTCGAACTTGCAGAGATCTTCTGACAGTTCTATGTCCCAGCAGGGAAGCCCCCCTGGCTCCCTTTAAAATGTGCTCACCAGCCAGAGTGGTGGTGCATGCCTGTCATCCCAGCACTCTGGGAGGCTGAATCAGGAGGATGGCAAGTTGGAGTCCAGCCTCGGCAATTTAACAGTTTAGTGAGATCCTGACTCAAAATATAAAATAAGTAAAGGGAGCTGAGGATGTTGCTCTGTACAAAGGCACTGGGTTCAGTCCTCAGTCCTACAAAAACAAAAACCAACCAAACAAAAAAGTCCTTATTAAATTAACTTTGCAGATGGCATAGCTGAGGATCCAATGGAGCTGAGTCTGGGGCTAGGAACACACTATGTTCTGGTCCACATGACCAATTAGGAAACCGAGGCGTTCTCTGCTGTTCACACAGAAAACACCAACATTTTCTGGCAGGAGAAGCGCCACCTCGACATGGCGGGAGTTCAGGCATGCTTAGCAAGGACTTCCGAGCCTGCATGTTTGGGCGGCTGACTTTTCGGAGACACTGGATTCTATGGTGTTGCCCGCTGAGAAGCTGCTAAGCTGCTAAGGATATGTGAGGAACAGCAGGCGTGAGGCTAATTTAGGACATTTGAACGGCACCTTAAAGTCTATAAGCCTTTTCCTTCCCTCCCTCCCTTCCTCTTCCTCTTTGCTAAATGTCACCCTACACCCAGCACTCAGCCCGGGTCCTGTCTTGTGTGGCCCGAATGCTGTGCAGGCGGGTGAGGGTGTCCCGTCCCCCATTGGGTCTGCCTGGCCCGGCTGCCGCCGCCCCCTCCTCCTCCCACTTTCCCCAGGATTTTTATGGCCGAGGCTCGGGAGGATGGACACCCGGGCTCTGTTAGCATTTTAAGTTCACGGGGGTCTTAGTGCAGTGTTCTTTGCATGTGGACTCCCACCTGCTTCTGGGCAGGAGAGCCTTCCCACGCATTCTGGCCTTTTCAGGAGGAAGGCCACCCAACCTGACAGCGTGCTGCCCGGTGGGCTGAGTTTGTATTAATTAAACTGCATGCAGATGCTGCTCAAAACTGTGTCTCCCAGTTTCTTCTCTGGGAAGAAATTAGAACTGAATGTAACCCCAGAGCTCCGGCCCGGGTCCTGGGTCCCAGGCTCCCGTGTTTTGCTCCCACCCGTCCCGCTGCTGGCTTTGTCTGCCACCCCGCGGGACCTCCGTGACACCGCGTCTGGCTGTTGCTGTTGGCTGGGGCCCAGGCTGGCTGCTGATCCCATCAAAGGTGCTGGAATGTCTGGGGCAGACCTTTGACCTTTAATCCTTTTCCTTCTGAGTCTGAATTCCAAAGCACGGCCGCTCAGTTCCCGCACCCTGTTCAGAAGCTGTTTCTGTCCGGGATTTTTTTCTCCCTTTTCTACTCTAATAGGAGATGCCCATGATGTGATGTGACTCCTTGGAAGTCCTGGAGGATTGGCTTTGCAGACAGAGCAGTATTATTATTGAGACAGGGTCTCACTGTGTGCTGCATGCTGGACTTGAACTCACTATGTGTTGCAGGCTGGCCTTGAACTCATAGCAATCCTCCTGCCTCAGCCTCCTGAGAGGCTGGGGTGACATGTGTGCACCACCATGCCCAGCATGTGGGCATCTTCAACCAGGTGGGCACTGGAAGCTTATGTGCCTGGAGCTGGGAATTCCACGCCAGCTTTGAGGTGCTTTTGCTACCTAGCTGTCAGCATGGGGCCCGCTTCACTCAAAAGCGCTCCAAGGGCTTCAGTCACCATCCTGGGCTGCAGCAGCAGCAGGGGCCCATGCTCTGCAACTTGAGTGAGGATTTCGGGTTGGGCTCCTGGCTGCTACCCCTGGATGGGTGAGGTGACAGTACAGCCAAGGAGGAGCAGTTTCCTCCGGGTCGAGGGAGGGAGATTTGTATCCCAAACATTTCCAAGAAAAGAAGTCAAAGCCTTAAAAGTGCCCATGTCCGTGAAGGTCCTGCTCTCCTGGCAGGGTGAGGCCAAGCTGTGGGCAGCACTTGGCTGCCCTGAGCTCTGTGTCTCTGTGTGGCATTGTGCTAGGGGCCCGGGGTATAGGGACAGAGAAGGAGACCTGTTCTCCAGGCATTTGGGGATGCCCCAGAGGTCCAGGTCACAGCAGTGATGGAGTGGAGGCCAGAGAGTGGTAGGATTTCCACGACCAATTCCAGGCTCTCCTGGCCACATCTACCTTTTCCATCCCTCCCAAGATACTGTTTCCCTTAAGTAGTTTTCTAAGGACAGAGAGACAGGTCCTGTTCTAGAATGTTCTGGAACATTCTGGAGTCTTCTGGGTCATTCTGGAGTCTTCCGGAATGGCTTTTTTGTGTGTATGTGTGTGCCACACTTAGGTGTGTTGGTTGTTTAGAGCAATGTACAGACACATCCTTCCCTTGGAGAAAAACAGCAATGTGGAGTTTGACAGCTTCCTTGTTCCCCATTTAGATGGTTCACACTACTGATATTTTGTGTTCTGAACTAAGTGGTTTAGTTTAATGGGGAGAATGCCAGCTGGGGTGTCAGGTACTGCTGGGGAACATCAGGCTCTGACATAGCTGTTAAGCTGCTGTGGGTCATTCTCTGGAGCTCTCCAACCCTCAGACTCTGTGAAATGTCTGCATACACCATGGTACCTCACATACAATTTGTTTTCAATATTAGCAGTTGTATCCAGGGCTTCACACTGAGCTACGTCCCCATCTCTTCATACAGTTTTTTATTTTGAAACAAGGGGTAGCTACCTCACTAAGTTGCCCAGGCTAGCCTTGAACCTGCCATCGTCCTGAGCCCTGCTGGCTCAGTCCCCTGGATCCTGGGCTGTTTCCAGGGAGAGGACCCAGATGGCAGCTGCCTTGCAAATCTTCGCCCTTCTTCCCTCCACCCAGGGGGCAATCAAGCGGACAATGAGGAAGAGGAAGAGGAGGGAGAAAGTGGGCTGGAAAGAAACGGACCCTCAAACCCCTACCCACTGGCTCCTCCTCCTGAAGGGTGCTGTACCACGGATGGTAAGTCTCTACTGACTCCCCTTTTATAATTTCACTTTTTCATTTTTTGAGAGAACTCTTGGCAGCCCTCCTGCCTCAGCCTCGCAAGTGCTGGGTCTACAGGCGTGTGTACCATGCTTGGGATCTGCCAGCCCTCTTGGGCACCAGCCCAGCCCAGCACCCATAGCAGAGTGTCCCGCTGGGCCGTGGCTAGACTTGCACCTGGAGCCACAGGCGCTATCCGTGCCTGTCCCGTGTCCCTGGCTCCCACAGGTGGCGCCATCCAGCGGCAGGTGCTACGTCCGCTCATGGCTCCTCCACGCTCTGTGGCGGTCTTTACTGGGTGTGGCTGCTGCCACCGAGCACCATCTAAGGGAGAGGCATCTTGTAAAAAACGATACTGTGTCCTCATCCACCTCAGCCACTGGATCCAACACTGTGTGACTTCTGGCTGGTCCACAAAGTCACAGTGACCATGAAAGGGAAACGTTTTAAATCCATTCAGGACATCAAGGCAGCCAGGACGGCCCAGCTAAAGACCCTCAGGAAAGAGGAGTCCAGAGCGGCTGCAGAAAGCAGCAAGGACGATGGGATGAGAGTGTTCCAAACCAGGGGAGGATTCTGAGGGGATTCCTGGCAATGTGTCTGTCACGGTTACACGTGTGTAAAAAGGTGCACTGAATATTTTGATTACACCTTATATTATTTAGCTCTTGCTCTGGAGAAATGTAGAGAAATGATACAAGAGCCCTCACTGAATGGGGAGCCAAGTGCTCTGCACCTCAAGTGGTGCGTGCTGGGGTTGGAACAAGCCATGGTGCTCGGAGCAGAGGAAGGTTTCCAGACCCAGGCTGAGAGTTCCAGCAAACTTCCTCCAGTGGGACATTGCAGGCTTTGTAGGAGTTTGCCACGAAACGTCGATGGAAGAAGCAGCATGTGGGGTGCATAGACAGGAGTGATGTCACCCCCTTAGGGAACATTATTAATTAGGTGGTGGCCCAAATCATGGCGGGATGATCAGATTGACCTTGCAGGTGCCGTGTGTCCGAGCCTGCTGGCCGACAGGGATGGGTCTTGGCCTCTCGGACTGCTGTTTGGGGACAGCGAGTTCCTGGAGGAAACAGAAGCAAACAGGTGTACGTGGGAGGAGGGACTGTGAGCTGTTCAGGTCCCCAGGGAGGTCGGGTGGACCTCCTAGAGGCTGGGGTGGTGATGCCTGCAGTTGTTCCTGCGTCCTCATCTGGCTGGACCCTGGGAGGGCAGAGCCAGGTAGAGCCCGGCCCTTTCCCTCCCCTACCTTGATAGTTGTGCAAACTTGATAGTTGTGTTTTGAACACAAAATATATTCTAAAGTTTCTAAAGGTACAGAGGGCCAGCATGGAGGTGTGCACCTGTAATCACTATGCTCTAGGAGGCTGAGGCAGGAGAATCCCACGTTCTAGCCCAGCCTCAGCAACTTATGACTTAATGAGACTATGCCTCAAAATAAATAAAAGAGGGCTGGGGTGCTGCTCAGTGAGAAGACCCTGGGTTCCATCCCTAGTACAAAAAAAAAAAGGCAGAGGCAAGTGCCTCAATACTCAGACCTTCTCCATGTATGTAAAATGCATCATAAAAAGTGTGAAATCACTCCTCAATTTCTTACAGACTTATCTTGTTTGGTTTTTTGAAATAGGGGCTCTGTAGCCCAGGCTGGCCTCAAACACACGGTGATCCTCCTGCCTCAGCCTCCCCAGTGCACCCCACTCCTGGCTTGTGTACATTTTGTCATCATTTGCTTGTATATTTTTCCTATTGAGCTTCATTTGCATGTTAATGTGTATTATGCAGTAACACCAATAGATAATTTCTGTGACCTGTGTCCTGCGTAACTAGCTCTGATTTTGTAATTTTTTATATTTCCTCACCCATGTGTGCAGTACACAGTGCTCACACTCCTCTAAGGACCAGCGCATGGATCTCACACACCTTCACTCTTTTCCTCCCCTTTCCCTTCCCCTCCCTCCATCTCTCAGTCCCCTTCCCATTTTCAAAAGATCTGTCTCCCTGTTTCCTATGAGCTCTCTTTTAATTTGCTCTTTAAATTATTTATACTTTGCATTTCTCCTAGAAGAGAAACCACGCGATTCTGAAGCCTGTGTGTCTCGTTTATTTCACTTCACAGTGCGGTCTCCAGGTGCATCCGTTTTCCTCCTCGTGACTCTGGCTTATCCTTTATGACAGAGGAGTGCTCCACACAGTTACGATTTTCTTTCTCAGAATTCATCAGTTTTGCATCTAGCCCAGCATTAAGGGCTGCTCCTGTACTTGCTTCTGTGACTCTGGCTCTGAGCAGCCTGGGCATCATGTGACCTTGTCGTCCCTGCAGGGTTCTGCCAGGCTGGGAAGGACCTGCGTCTGGTGTCTGTCTCCAGCGAGCCCCTGGAGGTCCCCACGGGCTTCCTGCTGGTGGGGGTCAAGTCCCCCAGCCTGCCTGACCAGCTGCTCGTGTGTGCCGTGGACAAGCGCTTCCTGCCGGACGACAGTGGCCACAACGCCCTGCTCGGTGCGTGCCCCCTCTCCAGACTGAGGCTGGTGGTGACCGCCGTGTGGCCTGGGCTGCTTCTGATGCCTGACCCTTTCGTGGGTTGGGGAGCCATGTCCCTGGCCAGGGCCATGTCCTGTGGGGCATGGAGGGCCAGGCCTTTGGGGGTAAAAAAAACTTACTAAGTCCAAATAAGAGAAGAGATGATGTAGATCAGAGGACACTGCCAAGGGGAATAGTGGGTGAGTTCCCAAGACAGGAACCCGCGGCCAGGGTGAGGACGGAGCCTTTTAAGGGATCGAAAGCCAGGTGCAGTGGCGCACACCTGTAGTTGCAGCAGTCCAGGAGGCTGAGGCAGGAGGATTGAGGAGGGTCTGAGGTCAGCCTGGGCTCCACAGGGAGGCGTGGACTGAGTTAGTAAATATAGCTATCTCAGAAATGTGCTCTCCGGGGCACCCTGTTCCTTGTTAATTCTCCAGGAACATCTGCACTGTATCTGAATTCAAACAGTTCCACACTGACAAGGTCGTTACTGGCCTCACAAAAGGCCCCTTCTCCGGGGAGAGTTGTCTTCATCTCATGCTGTTAGGACCGTGCGGGTAGAGATTCTTAGCCTGCATTGGCGGAGGCGGGGGGCAGGATTGCTTTCCTGTGGGATTTCCCCACAGAGGGTTTTAACTCTTTTGCTGCCAATGGGTCATCACTGTAGACTAGAAGGAAAGTGGGGACTATTTTAAAATGTGGCCTCTTCTGTAATGGCCACGGTTCCAGGGTCCAGGTTTGCATGTATTGGTCACACACCTTTTCCTAAGTGGCCACCTGAGTGATGAATGGGTCACCAGGCTGGCCTTGAACTTGCTGTGATCTTCCTGCCTCAGCCTCCTAAGTGCTGGGATGGCAGGTATGCACCACCATACCTGACTGGGTTTTTTATTCTTTATTTTTGAGACAGAGTCTTGCTAAGTCACTACATTGCCCAGACTGTACTTAGTGTTGTGACCCTCCTGCCTCAGCCTTCCGAGTGCTGGGATGACAGGTGTGCATCACCAGGCCTGGCTATTTCTGCCCTCAGTCGTTGTACTACATGGGCCTGTGTGGGCCCTAGCTTCTGATCTTTTGAACAACACAAATTCAGCATGTGCCCCTGAGACTGGGGAGATCCTGAGTTTGGACCAAGTGCCAAGAGTTCTGGGTTCTAGTCTTTCATCTGACCAGAGGGCTCCGAGGGCCCCTGGGCCATGGGGTTCCCATCTGGAAGTGGGGAGTTCAGGGGTGACCACAGCCCACTGTCGGGGGAGCCTTGGAGCCTGACCTCAAGGCCTGGGAGAGATTTGGGGTTAAACCCTTGAGTCTCTTCCTCTCCCATGCTCACCAGCGTCTTAAACCCCAGCTCTGCGCTTGATGTGGCCCCGAGGCCCGCTGGCAGGGAGACTCGCCCGGGGGCATTTATGGGGCACAGCTGGTGTCCGAGCTGTGCATTGAAGGGCTGGAGGGACAGGACGAGCAAGGACGCCCCACGGCAGGGGCTTCCCTGCGAGTGTGTGATGTGCTTGTGCCCCGGGCTTCCTCTTCTTTGGGAGAAGGCATCTCCAGGGCCCTAAATGAGTAAATCAGGGCGGGCCTGCTCTGATCGCCGCCTTCGTCCTGACCATTTCCTGCAGGGGCTCGGTGGGCGGGTGGCCAGGAAGCGGGGGCTTTGTTAATTGCTCTCGAAGATTCCTCCACGCCTGCAGCCCGGCTGGCTGGTAATAACCTCGCTTTTTTCTTTGAAAGCAGCTTTTCCTCCCAGCCTGTGTGCCCAGCTATGTTTAGGTTTCCTGCAATTAAACCAGAGGCTGCTGGGACCAGGTGGTCCCAAACCCTGCAGGGGCTTTTTAGTGACCCATAAACCCGGCTGTGGAATGTCTCGGCTTTCGGAGCCCTGTGTTAGTGGTGGGGGATCCGCTGAGTGGTTTTGTTCAGGAAACCCAGGAAAACACAGTTTAAGTATCACGGTTTCGACAGGAAGTCTCTCAACCAGCTTAGGTGTCAGAGAAGAAAACCAGGGAGCGATCGGAAGACACCATGAATGTTTCATTAAGAAAAACCCATGGCATAGGACACGTTGCCAAGAATGACAGCCTGAGTGTGTTGGAAGGGAGGGGGAAGGTCTGGGGGTATTTGTGGCAATGTGTCTTTTACGGTCATACATTTTAAAAACTATAGACACTTACTGTATTTTTGGGCCACATCTCTTACCTCGCTAGAAGTTTCATTTCTTAGCTAGGAGTCATTAAGTCCTTTGTTCACTTTGAAAGCAGACAATTAAACCTGTGTTTATGGACTGTATAACCTCAAAGGCTGGACATTCAGCTCCATCCGGCTTTGCCCTGGGGACCCCCAAGTGGTGAGAGACACAGGCAAATACAATCAGTAAAAGTCCCTGTCAATAAATCTTCCAACCCATGCCTGCTCCAGGAGCGCCTACCTGAGATCCCAGCATCTAGACAGGCTGAGGTAGGAGGCCCGCAAGTGAGAGGCCCACCTAGGCAACTCAGCAAGACCTTGTTTCAAAATAAGAAATACAAAGGGTACAGAGGGGCCAGTGGGGCTCTCGGGGTTCACCTGATTCCTGGGGGCACCCTCTCTTGAAGAGCAGAGGGACCGGAGGCCACCCTGGGAAGGAGGAGGAGGCACCGTATTTTTGTGTGTCAGCTGGAGAACAGCAGCAGAAGCAGCTGACACACTGGTTAAGGCCGGTGTTTTCTGAGCATTTATCACCTGCCAGAAATTGTTCTAAGTTCAGGTAGAAGTTTAGGTAGCTGGTGTGGTGCAGACATTGCAGTCTAGAAAGTGCTGAAGGCACAGAGGAGGGGACCCGCTTGGTGAGGTCACCCAGGAGGCAGCTGCTGGCCTGAACACGAACGTGCTGGTCCAGCACTGGTGCTCCCACCCTAGCAGGTGCGGGGTGTCAGAGGAAGTGGGGACCAGGGACAAAGATGCTGGGGAGATGCTGGGCCTCCCAGTGGCAGGAATTTTGCTCTGGGTAGAAGCATGAGCCCAGGTGGGGTCCTGCTCCGCAGCCAGCAGCCACGTTCCAGCCGCTGCCGGGCGAGCAGATAACAAGAGACTGGACGCTTGTTCCTGGGCAGTGCCGACCCGAGCCCCGGACTGTCTGGTTCGCCCCTTCCTCTTCTCCCCCTTGAGGGTTTTTAAAAGCAAATTCCAGACATTGTGTCATCGCATGTGTAAATATCCCCTGCATGTCTGTCTCTACAAGACAAGGGCTCTTTGTTGGAAGTCTTCTGCCAGTTGTGGCTCAAAACTTGGACAGCATTCTTTCAAGTGCTCAAAGATCCCGTGTGTTCACATTTTATCTTATCTTATCTTATCTTATCTTATCTTTCTTTCTTTCTTTCTTTCTTTCTTTCGGTTCATTGAAATCCAGACCCAGTTAAGTTTCTCTTAAACCAATTGCTTGGTTCATCTCAAGTTTTTCTTAATAAATGTCCTTTCTTCCTTATTTTTCCTTCATAACTTATGTTTTTAAGAAACACTGGAGGTGTTAAAGTAAGGTGGTCACCACGTTCTAACTTAAGTTTTAGAAAACACTCAGGGATCATACACATAGTTTTTTTTTGCAGTCCTGGGGACGGAGCCCAGCGCCTCCCCAGTCAGCTGCCTTCTCCCCTCCGGCAGGTTTCTCGGGGAACTGCGTGGGCTGCGGCAGGACGGGCTTCTGCTACTTTACGGAGTTCTCCAGCCACATCAACCTGAAGCTCAGCACGCAGCCCAAGAAGCAGAAGCACCTGAAGTACTACCTGGTCCGTGACGCACAGGGCGCGCTCACCCAAGGGCCCGCCATCTGCTGGAAGGGCGCTGGTGAGGGCCCGCGCGGTGCCCGTTGGGGCAGCGGCGGGGTGGGGGCGGCTGTGGGGGACGGCTGTGATGAAGCTTAACGCTGCACACATTGCCTTTCCCGGTGCAGGCGCTTGCCGAGACAGCGACAGAGTTATTGCCAGGGACATTTGAAGGCTGACAGAAACCATGCTGTGCCTCTTCGTGCCGAGTGGTTCTCAGTTGTCAGTGATTTTTGTCCCCAAGGGACAGGGGTTTTTTTTAATGATTTTTTTTTTTTTTTTTTTTGGAGACAAGGTCTTGCTATGCAGTTCAGGCTGGCCCTGAACCTACTATGTAGCCCCAGCTGGCTTTGAACTCATGGCAATCCTCCTGCCTCAGCCTCCGGAGTGCTGGGATGACGGTTGTGCACCCCTCTCCTGGTTGGAATCTTATTTCTATGCAGTCTGCTCACCTGTGGGAGAAATTCTAGATTTGGAAGTACTGTCGTGCCTGCGGCAGAGGAGCACATGGGTGCTCACATCGCCTCTTCCCCTTGCAGAGTTCAGAAGCCGCCAGGCCTCCGCCAGTGTGAGCTCCGGTCCAGTCCTCCTGCCGCTGGAGGGCTCAGGGCCTCTGACTGCCTTTTCTAGCGAGCCTGGTGCTCCTGGGTCGAACCCTGGCATTCCAACGGGCGCACAGCGGGCAGGTGAGACGACACAGCAGCCGGGGCAAGGGGGCTGCACAGGCCAGTTCACTGCGAGGCCTGCCTGGCTGCAGAACAGGCAAAGGCAGCCGGACGTCATGGCGCATGCCTGCAACCCAGCACTTGGGAGGCTGAGGCAGGAGGGTCAGCGAGACCCTGTCGCAAAGGAAAAAAAAACAAGAAAAAGAAAGCAAAGGGAGGCCTTGCTTTGTGTTCAGGTCAACCTGAACTCACTGGACCAGCGCGTATGTGCTGCACAAACAGGAGTGTGTGTGTGTGTGTGTGTGTGTGCGAGAAGTGTGTGTGCACACATGTGAGCAGAGATGTGCATGCATATGTATGTGAAATGTGTTCTGTGTGTGCATGAGCAGATGTGTGTCTGTACAGACGCTCATGTGCACAACCAGGTGTGTCCACGTGTGCACAAGTGCAGGCATGTGCAATGTGTGTTCATGTACAGGTTGCACAGACGGCAGTGTGCACGTGTTCATATGTGCAGGAGTGTGTGAGCAGAAGTGTGCCTGTGTGTGCATACATGTACCCTGGATATGCGTGAGCAGGCGTGTGTATGCGTGCTTGGGTGTGCGTGTGTATCTGTGTGTGAGAGCACAGCTGCGTGTGGCTTGTGTGCGCGCATGTGCATGCCTGTGTCTTGTCTGGGGGGCAGAGTCCCCCGCCTGCAGCTCTGGTCCCGCGGGACGTAGGGTCCGCTGGGTGGTAGAGAGGAGAGCCTCGCCCGCTCTCGCTGCTGCCCGGCCCCCTGGCTCCTCTCTCGCCTGCAGGCTCGGCGCTGTTCTCTGAGCAGTCCCCTCCAGCAGCCGCCCCCAGTGCGGTGGTTTTCAATGGCAGGGACTCCCCCAGGCACCAGCAGATGGCGCGGAGCAACCTGGTGGCGCTGGCGCGGCCCTCAGCCTTAGGTAATGCACCACCTGGATCCTAAGCCCTGGGTGGGGGCCTGGAGCTTCCTGGGGTCCAGGGCTAGCGGGAGTGGGGGGAACTGGCTGAGGTCAGCAGTACTGCGGTCCAGGGTCTGCACCCCATATGGGGGCTGCTGAGGCCTGCGTGGGAGGCACCCCTTGTGCCGAGGAGCAGCGAGAGCCCAGGCGACAGTGAGTGAGGTCTGTCTCTTGGGCCAGTGTCAGGAGGGTCTGGGGCTCTGGGGACACTGAGGAAGAGGGTGGGGAGTGCTGAGGAGATGCTGAGCAGGAGGCAGAGAGAGAAGTGGGAAGAGCAAAGTTGGGTGTGGTGCTGCATACGCCTGAAAGCCCAGCGCTGTGGGAGGCTGAGGCGGGAGGATCTCAATTTTGAGCTCAGCTTAGGCAATTTAGCAAGACCCTGTCTCAAAATGAAAAACATAGAAAGGTCTGGGGGTGGAGCTCAGTAGGCTGGGCAGGGCTGTTGCTGCTGTCATCTCCACCATGCCCGGCCACCCTTCCCAGCCACTGGCCACTGTCTGGGTGGAAGAGGCAAAGCAAGGCCTCAGAGCTGGTCAGGTCTGGACTGGAGACTGTGTCACCCCTGTAGGAGCAACCTGCATCCCGGATTCCTGCCCTTTCCTTTCCAGGACTGAGTGCAGGGCAGCCTAGTGCCTGGAGACTGGGCCTCTGGCTGTGGGGACCGAGTTCTGTGTCCACGGCTTCCTCCCTGAGCTGAACTGGGGTTCTCCTGGCCCACACCCAACCCAGCAGAGCTCTGGGGGTCTTGGCAGCCCCTTTTTGAATTTTTTGAGGCAGGGTCTCATTAAGTTGCCCAGCCTGGCTGACCTTGAATTTGGAGAGCCTCCTGCCTCAGCCTCTTAATGCACTGGGATCCGGATGTGCACCACCCTAGCCAGCATGCTTTTAGCTTTTGATTTTTGTTCTGTTTTAGTTTGAAGAAGAGGGAAAGGTCATCTGGGGCTCCTCCAGGGCACATTAAGCTGCTGTGTGACTCGGGGTGACCGGTCACTAGTGAAGGGATGGACCTTCACATCCCTTCTGGAGACCTGCGCTTGCAGCAGAGGCCCTGAGGGACAGCAGTCACTGGCCCTGCCTTTGGGCTATGCAGCTCCCTCTGGGGCCCCTGCTTTCAGGCAAGGGCTCAGCCTGGCTGCTGGTTCAAGCGCCCGGTGTGGGTTCCTGGGCTGTCCATGGGCTGTGGCTTGGGACCAGGCTCCACCCAGAGGGACACTGAAGGAGCTTTGGGGACCAGGGCATGGTTTTTGGGGTCTCCTGTAAGTGCAGTTCCAGTACTGGGCCTGCTACTGTGTGGAGGTGGCGGCTGCTGGTCCAGCTTCCCTTTCTCGGAATCTGGATCCCAACTGAGCTGCCAGAGTGCAGGGCGGAGCAGCACCGCCCCCAGTGGCTGAGCTGGCTCATGCAGGGCGCTGCTTGGTGCTGGGTGAGGACCTCTGCCAGGCCTCAGCCTCAGCACAGGGCTTCCTCCTGATTGAACTTTCACAGTAGCTTTTAGTTAATTAACTAATTAATTTATTTGGATGCAGGGTATTGAACCCAAGGCCTTTGCATGAGGTTACATCCTCAGCGTTTTTTGCTATTTTTAAATTTTGAGACAGGGTCTTATTAAGTCACTAATTTGCCCAGGCTGGGCTCCAACTTGTGACCCTCCTGCCTCAGCTTTCCATATGAAGAGGCTCAGGCAGGAGGATCGCCAATTTCAAGGCCAGCCAGCTTGGGCAGACCTTAGTGAGACCCTGTCTCAATAAATTATACAGGTGTGGGGTATAAAAATCCATAAAAAATGCTGAGTAAGTGTTCTCCGAATTAAGGGAAAATTTATTGAAGTTCATTGCTAGCTGCAGCCTAATCCATGCTCTGAATGTTTCTAGGGATCTTGTCAAATTCTGGGCCCCCCAAAAAACGCCACAAAGGGTGGTCCCCAGAGTCCCCATGGGCTGCAGATGCCGGCTATGCTCAGGGCAGCGTGAACAGAGCTAAGTATGGTGAGTGATCGCGGACGAGATCCAAAAGCCACACGAGCCACGGTGCTGGCAGTGTGTGTGCACGTGTGTGTGTGTGTGTGTGTGTGTGTGTACATGTGGGTGTGGGTTGGGGGTCATGCAGGTGGCAGACTGGGCAGGGCACAGAGGCCCCTGTGTCCTCCGAAAGTCACTGCACGAAGCTGAGGGTGCTGCCAGGCAGGTGCTGCTTGGTCCGAGAAGGAGTGGGGCAGCGTTGGTGTCACACCTGGGCAGGGTCTGTAGCTGCACTTTCCCAGCTGCGAAGTCCTGAACAGGTCAAAAGGTCTCCCTGTCATGGTCACTGTGACTCTGGGGAAGAGCCAGAAGTCACACAGTGCCGGATCCAGGGACTAAGGTGGATAAGAACGCAGCCTCATGTTTTTAGAAGCCCGACTTTCTGTTGGGTGGTGCTTGGCAACAGCATTCACTGTATTTTTTATCACATTTAGTAAAGATCTCAGGAAACAGGACCCCAGAGCTGCTGCAGAAAGTGGCAAGGATGGGGCTGGGGATTTAGCTCAGCAGCACAGTGCCTGCCCGGCAAGTGCAAGGTCATGAGTTCGATTCCCGGTACCGGAACCAAAAAAAAAAAAAAGACAGTGGCAAGGATGATGGGACGAGTGTGTTCAGAGTGAGGGGAGGATTGTGGGGGGGTTCGCGGTGATGTGTCTCTTACCGTAATGAATTATTTCCTGTAGACGTGCATCCCGTTTCCCACGCACTCCCTGTGCAGCTCGCTAACATTGCTGTCGTGTTCCCAGAAGGCGTAGGTGTGGCGTGTGTGCCCCAGGCCAGCATGGTGGGACCGGCTTCCGTCACTTTTCCTGTCGTGGGCTCTGGAGAACCCGTATCTGTTCCTGACAATTTGCTGAAGATATGCAAGGCCAAGCCGGTGATATTTAAAGGCAAGTTTGGAGGCGTTCCCCCTGGCTGGCAGGAGGGACAGGCGAGGGACAGGCCACGCTGGACCATGTCCCTGTCCGACCCCAGGTGGCCTCCAGAGCCACTCCAAAGCCCCGTGGGTGAGGGGAGTCTGGAGCGTGTTGGTTACCCTCGTGCAGGGCTCCTTCGGTGACGTCCGCGTTTGTTCACTCACTTGCTCCTCTTCACAGAGCTGCGCCCTGGCGACAGCTCCAGCGCTGAGCACCGAGACATCACTGTCACCCAAAGCCATAAGTAGTGTGTGATGTGTGACCTGGTTGCCCGTCGATCCATTCTGGGCATCGGCTAACAGGTGCCGGCGGCGGGAGAGCTCTGGCTCAGCGACAGAAATCCCTTCCCAGTGAATCAAGGACCTGGGGACGGAGGGACCATCCTGGGCCGGGGCTCCCATGTGGGGCGTGGGATGTGGCACCCCCCTGCACATCCGGGTCCTTCCCTGGCCTGTGGGGTTATTGTGCTCGTAGGATTGGAGGAGGCAGCCTGGTAGGCAAACGGAGAGACCACCGGCTGTTCATTAAGGAAGGACACTTTTCTTCCCCCTAAAGCCCACCAAAACCAAACAAACCCAAAGAAGCCAGTGTAGAGGCCTGGCCCATGTGACTCTATGTTCTGTGTGTTTCCTGGGTGGCTGCTGCCAGTCCCGGCCCCACAGGGCCAAGAGGGCAGAGGGCCAGGGTGGCACCTGTGCCCCTCTGCAAAGGGCCGGTTTCCCTGGCTCCTGACCCTGCTGTGGACACCTGGTGCTGCTCAAAGGAGTCCTCCTCATCTCCCTTTCATGTGCCTCTCATCTCAGGGCCCTGACCTCTTTTATCACAACTGTGCTTTTATTTTGTTGGTTTTTTTTTGAGATGAGGTCTTGGTACCTAGTTCAAATTCACCTTGAACTCATTATGTAGCCCAGGCTGTTCTCAAGTTCATGGAGATCCTCCTGCCTCAGCCTCCCCAGTGCTGGGATGACAGGTGTGCACCACCGTGCCCAGCTCACATCCTTTCTTTTATAGCCACTCTTCACCTTGCTGCTTGTAAATCACCATGTTGCTGGGCGGTGCCACCCCTCTGGTCCCTGCTTCAGCACCCCAGAGTCCTGAGTTTGGCAGAAGTGTGAATGAATCCACAGCCAAGTCAGGCCTCCTCTGGCTGGGGATACCTAGGTGTCTGAGCGAGTCTCCTGGGGTTCCATGCACGTCCTAACTTCTCAAGTCGTGACCAGTGTCCTGGGCACCAGGTTGCCTAGAGTGGGCATAGCGCCTGCACATTGTGCACAGAGAGGTCAGGCGCCTGTCATTTTGGTGACAGATGGAGGCACTTCCGTTTCCTGAGTCCCTGGGGGGGGGTGGACAGGGAGTCCATTCTGCCCATCCTGTCTGAGGAGCCGTGCCATGGTCCCAGGCCACCTGCCAGTGGCGCTGTCACTTCCCTTGCAGGCCATGGGAACTTCCCCTACCTGTGCGGGAACCTGAACGACGTGGTGGTCAGCCCGCTGCTGTACACCTGCTACCAGAACTCCCAGTCTATCTCCCGGGCCTGTGAGCAGTATGGCTCCTCTGCTGTGCAGCCGATCTCGGAGGAGATGCAGCTCCTGCTCACTGTCTACTACCTTGTCCAGCTGGGTGAGTCCCCACTGGCCACCAGGTCCAGTTAGTGAGGCCCTCACTGGCTGCTAGGTCCAGCTAGGTAAGTCTTCATTGGCTGCCATATCCAGCTAGTGAGCCCCCATTGGTCGCCAGCTCCAGCTGGTGAGTCCTCATTGGCCATGAGGTCTAGCTGGTGAGGCCCTATTGGCTGTCAGGTCTAACTGGATGAACCCTAATTGGGTCTAGGTGCAGCAGGGTGAGCCCTCATTGGCCACCAGGACCAGCTGAGTGAGCCCCCATTGACCACTACCCACAGAGGCTGATCACAGACCCCTCCATGAGGGCATCGGGCTGAAATCCCAGGGCACGCTGGCAGCCCCTGGGACAGCAGTGGTCACTGTGGAGGGGAAGGAAGGCTGGGATGGTAGAGAAAGCTTCTAGATCAGGAGCCCGCCGTCCAGGCACAGGGCACGCAGCAGGAGGTAGAAGCCCTGAGCCTGCGGGGAGGGTTTAGGTAGGAGCTGAGAGGAGGCAGTGTGGCTCGCTGGGGACAGCAGTGTCCGGGTGGGGACCGCAGGCCCTCGCACCATCTGGCCCTGAGCTGGATGTGCAGGAGGCTGCAGAGGAGCTGCTGCAGTGTCTCAGTGGGGCTGGCGTGAGGCGAGGTCGCAGGGCTGTTGCTGTGGTCCTGTAGGTGGGGAAGATGGATGGGCGTCTCCTTAGATTCTGTCTCCCTGGCTCCCGACTTTGCATGGTCCCTGAGGGTGACGATGTCATTTCATCCAGAAGTGGACGCTGTGTCCTGTTCCTGAGGTTGTGCCCCTCTGTGCTCATCTCCTACCTATAAAGCCATTGCTGGGATTTTTTATTCAGGTGAAGTTGAGGAGGTTCTGTCTTGGGGACCTCAAGCTTAGGTGGCCCTTGGAACACCCTATGTCTTCTGATCTTTTTAGTTTTTTTTTTTTTTTTTTTAAACAGGATCTCACTGTGTAGTTCGGGCTGGCCTTGAACTCAGTATGTTGCCCAGGCTGGCCTCAAACTTGCAGCAATCCTCCCGCCTCAGCCTCCCAAGTGAGTGCTGGGATAAAGGTGTCTGCCACCATGCCTGGCTGGATTCCTTTCTTGCTCTTTCTTGGGATCTGTGTGGATCTGCCTGGTCATCATGGGTTCAGCCCCGACCCAGCCTCTCCCATCTCTGTCACCCACCTCACCCTGGGGCCACCTCTCTTGGCCCTGCTTGCCACATCCATCTGGAAAACTGTGCTTTCTCTCCTTGGAGCCCTGGCTTTTCTGTCATGTGCTTAGGTCCCGCCTGTCCTCAGGCCCCGTGACAGTCCTGCCTCTGCCTTGCACTGGTCACTGCCTCAGCATCTCCCCCGCTGGGTGGGGACTCCCCCGGGTTGAGCCCCGAACCTGGCAGCATGCCCGACTGTGCGCTCAGGTCGTCACTGTTCTCGAAGTATATGAGGGCACAGGTGACAGGGAAGCGGGAGGAAGGGGCTCCCACGCAGCGTCAGTGTGGCTGGTGTGGAGGCCGGGGTGGCGTGGCCATGGGTGTGGCCCCAGGGAGTACCGGGCACCTGGATGGGGACACTCAAGGGAGCGAGGGTCAGAGAGAAGGTGGGGCGGGGTGAATACTGAGTTTCCGGGGGAGCATGTCGGGGGAGAGGCAGCTGCAGGAGAGTTTTGAAGCCCAGGTTTACCGCAGCTGATCTAACCAGATGCTGATGGATCTGCTGATTCTAACTGGATCTATCTACCAAAACTGGAAACTGGGTGTGGTTTTGCACACCTGTGATACCAGCACTCCGGGAGACTGAAGCAGGAGGATCACAGGTTCAAGCCCAGCCTGGGCAACTTATGGACCTAGTGAGACCCTCTGTCAGAAAAAATTAAGGGCTGGGGTTGTAGCTCAGAGCAGAGGTCCCAGGTTCAACCCCAATAAGCAGAAAAAAAAAAAAAAAAGAAAAAGAAAGAAAGAAAGGAAACAATAAAAGCAAAGTAGTGGCTCTAGGAATTCACCTTACGAATTTCAGCATTTAAAACCTGCATGTGGGGAGAGGAGACTAATGGTACACTGGTGTCATCCCAGCACTCAGGAGGCTGAGGCAGGAGGGTGCCTGCAGCCTGGGCTACATCATGAGTTTAAGATCAGCCTGGAACACGTAATGAGGCCGTCTCAAAACACCGAAGCTGATGTTCTGGCTGTGTCTGCACTGACCGCCTGTGCCCTGCCTTGCAGCTGCTGACCAGGTGCCGTTGATGGAGGAACTGGAGCAGATCTTCCTGCGTTCCTGGCGCGAGTCACACCTGGCCGAGGTCCGGCAGTGCCCGCAGGCGCCCCTGCAGCCCTACCTGCCTGCACCCGGCCCCGCAGTGCCCGTGACCTCTGCACAGCTACCCTGGCTGGCCGGCCTGGCCGCCAGCTCCTGCAACGAGAGCGTGCACGTCATCGAGTGCGCCTACTCGCTGGCCGAGGGCCTGGCTGAGATGTTCCGCCTGCTTGTGGAGGGCAAGCTGGCCAAGACCAACTACGTGGTCATCATCCGCGCCTGCCGCAATGCCGCCATCGACTCCTGCATTGCTGTCACCGGTGAGCTGGCCTCGCCATGCTGCTCCCCTCCCGGTCCGTCCGGGGAGCTCCCGGTCCGTGCACCAAAGCTGGCTTCCGCAGGCAGCCTTGCAGGCATGGTGGTGACACACACCTGTCATCCCTGCACTCTGAAGGGCTGAGGCAGGAGGATCTCAAGTTCAAGTTCAGCCGAGGGCAGCTTGACCTTATTGCCTAAAATTTAAAAAGAAAAAGGGGATCTTTCTCAGTTTTCTCCTTGGTGGAAGGGAGATAAGAAACAATAAACTTACTGTGTTGTGGGCTATGCGCCAGTCTACTTGCTCCTGAGGTATAAAAGTGCTCAGTTAGCCAAGCACTCGAGCCAAGGCAGGAGAATCACCACAAGTTCAAGGCCAGCCTGGGCTACATAGTGAGACCCTTTTTCAAACTTAACATGAAACAATACAACAAAAAGTGCTCATTTGAAACCTAGTGCCAGGGCTGGGGATATAGCTCAGTGGCGTAAGCACCTGCCTGGTAAGCGCAAGGCCGTGAGTTTGATCCCCGCTACCGCAGAAAAAAATAAAAAAATAAAAAATAAAACCTAGTGCCTGCGTCCACAGCTGGGGCTTGGGGCAGGCGTGCTTCCCTGGAGCGACTGTTTTGGTTGGGAAGGCCGACACCAAACCCACTGCATGTTCAGGGCCATTGAAGTGTTCACGAACATTGTATATTTTCAACCCCACATTTTTATACCTCCCGCTCTCTTGCAGTATCGGGGAGGGGAATGAACTCAGGGCCTTTCCACAGAGCTACATCCCCAGCCCTTTTATTTTTAATTGTTTCAATTTTCAGATAGATTCCAGCCAAGTCAGTATACTGCCCAGGCTGGGCTCCAGCTTCAGTCCTCCTGCCTCAGCCTCCTGAGTGATGAGTGAAATGTGTGCCGCCATGCCCGGCAGTCTCAGCCATTTTAGCCCCTCAAGTTATGCTAACTGTTCAGTGGACCTGGATGGTGCATGTGGCAGATTCCTGCTCTTGGCCGGGGCAGCTGTGGTGCTGGCCCTGTGGCGGGGGAGAGAGATCCAGACGTGACCCTGTGATCAAAGAGCACATGCGTGTCATCCCAGCACTCTGGGAGGCTGAGGCAGGAGGGTCGCAAGTTCAAGCTCAGCTGGGCAGCTTAACAAGAGCTTGTCTCAAAATAAAAATTTTAAAAAGGGCTGAGGCTGTCGCTCCAAGCAGAGACTCTGGGTTCAAGCCCGGCTATGAAAGATGAAAAGCCGCTGGGTGAGAGCTGCTACTTGTCCCCAGGGAAGTACCAGGCCCGAATCCTGTCCGAGAGCCTGCTCAGCCCCGCCGAGTACCAGAGGGAGGTGCACTGCGAGCTGGCGACTGGCAAGGTGGACTCGCTGGGGGCCTTTTTCAGCACCCTCTGTCCAGGTCGGTGGCCGGATGTGCACGCAGTGCAGGTGCTGCAGTGTGTGTGTGTGTGTGTGTGTGTGTGTGTGTGTCCTGCATCCCAGCCCCACTGCCCCTCCCTGAGGACCCTGCTCCCCAGCCCGGCTCCTCCCAGCTCCCCCAGCCTGGTCTTCACTGCCATTCATGAGGGCCTCGTTCCCCCTCGAACCCTCGCCCAGGTGCCGGGACTGCACTGGACAAAGGCGCTGGTCCAGAGAGGTTCGCGGATTCCACAGCACAGAAAACCCATTTCCGCTGTTCTCTCTTCGGGGCAGAGGGCGACATTGACATCTTGCTGGACAAATTTCATCAGGAAAATCAAGGCCATATTTCATCTTCACTCACTTCCATGTCTGTCACTAATGCAGCGGGCCTCGAGGTCGGCGGGACCCCGGTGTGCGCGAGTGAGTGTCGGAGGGTGGACGGGTGCGCGGGCACAGGGGAGGGCAGACGGGTGGTTGCTGCCTCGGAGAGCCGGCTACCCTGGCTCGATGCCCCCTGTGGCCCGGCCCAGCACAGGCGTCTCAGCCCCCTCGGGATCTGCACCTGGGATTCTCCGTTCCTGTGAACCTGGGGCGGTGGGGCCGCTGCTTTTCCCTCTGGGAACTTGCTGTCCTCCGGTGCTGTTCACTGTCCCGCCCTGGGGCCCTGGTCCTCGTTCCCCGCAGGTGCGGGGCCCCATGCCTTGGTCCTGATGCATCCTCATGGCCAGCGGAGACGCTGGTGTCGCCTGTGTCTTGGTCGTCTGGTGCTGGCCCTGCACCAGCGGTGGCAGTGTGCAGCTCTCCCTGCTGTCCCCTGGCTCAGTGTGGGTCCCCTGGCTGCAGGTGAGTGCCGGGAGCCACGCAGCGTCTGGCCAGCCCAGCTGGCAGTGGCACAGAAGCTGCTGTCACATGTGTGCTCCATCGCGGACTCCAGCACCCGGAACCTGGACCTGGGCTCCTTCGAGAAGGTGGACTTCCTGGTCTGCGTCCCGCCCTCTGAGGTCACCTTCCAGCAGACCATGGCCCACGTGTGGCGCTCAGGTACTGGGAATTCGGGGACAGGGCCCGTGACAACCTCGGAGCCCCGGAACCTGAGGCAAGGTGTGAGCGGCGTTCTTGACGGTGGAGTGGTCAGAACGAATGTCCCTGCTTTTGTTTACTTAGCTTGAGACGGGCTCTCACTATGTAGTTCACACTGGCCCTGAATTCATGACGATCTTGCCTCAGCCTCCTGGGGGCTTTGCTCTTATTTTATAGACCGTGAAGCTGGTCTTGAGACATGGATTTGCCCAAGGCTTTGGGATCTGAGAAAGGGAGAGCAAGACTTACGCCCTCACTGTGTTCCCCAGGCCAGGGCCAGCTGTGTTGCCTGGCTGCCGCCCACCGTCTTTTCAGGGGGATTGCTGTAAACATAGTGCACATGGCAGCTGGTGTCTTCATGCCAAGGAGCCACTCTGGCCAGCCCTGGTGGCACCCTGGGAGGCTGAGGCAGGAGGATGTCAATATGAACCCAGCCTGGGCAGCGTTTAAATAAACACAAAGCGTTGGGGACACAGCTAATGGCAAAAGCCCTGGGTTCAGTCCCCAGTTCAGTCTCTCTTCAGTGCCACAACATGGGGGCCTGGTGGTGACTTTGCCTGGCGGTGGGGCCTTCCCCTTGCCTCTGGTCTCAGAGCCTGCTCCTCGGGTCCCCAAGATGGCCGCGGTGCCCATGCCAGGCCTCCCAGCTGTGGTGTGGTGCGGTGCAGAGCAGTCAGGTCCCCTCCCCGAGGCCCGCTGGCGCAGGGGTGTGCAGGGGCGGGGCTGTGCGGGGCGGTGCTGGATGCCATGGCTGCGCTTTCTGGCAGGCGTGCTGCAGGAGCTGGGACTGGAGCCGGAGCCTGCGGCCGGGCAGAGGCTGGAGCGGCGTGTGCTGAAGCTGGACGCTGAGGCACCTGCCACGTTCACAGCGTTCCTGCAGCGCTCCCGCCGGAGCCCGAACACGCTCTTCGTGCTGGTCCACGACCACGCACACTGGGACCTTGTGAGGTCAGACGCAGCCTGGCCTGGGCAGGGCCGTGTGGGGCGGGGGCCTCGCATGCTCTGCTCGGAGGGCTCTGTCAGCCCCAGGTGCCTTCTCAAAGTGCGATTTTACTCAATTAAAATGAATAGGAGCTGGGCATGGAGGTGCCACACAGTTGTAATCCTGGCACTCTGGGAGGCTGAGGCAAGAGAGTCCGGAGTGCCTGAAGTCAGCCTACTCAAAGGCAGAGCCATAAGCTTCAATGACAGGCAAACCTGGGGCCTCATTATAAATACATTCGACTGCTTTCCCCTTTATAAAATCACAAAACGAAGCCCAGTGTGGTGTTATGTGCCTCATCCCAGCACTCAGGAAGCTGAGGTGAGAGGGTCTCCTCTAGTTTGAGGCCAGCCTGGGCTACCAAGTGAGACCCTGTCTCAAAAAAAAAAAAAAAAAAAAAAAAAAAAAAATCACAAAACAGTGTTAGAGGGGCTGGGGATTTAGCTCAGCGGCAAAAGCGCCTGTGTGGCAAGCGCAAGGTCGTGAGTTCGGTTCCCGGTACCGGAGAAAAACCAAAAAAAAAAACAAAACAAAACAGTGTTAGTAGTGGCGTTCATTCTTTTTCCTCTCCTGGCCTCAGTAGTGCCGTCCACAGTCTCTACTCCCAAAGTGACCCGTGCGTAGGGCTGGTGGACAAACTGCTCAACTGCAGGGAGGTGAAGGAGGCCCCCAACATCGTGACGCTGCACGTGACGTCCTTCCCATACGCGCTACAGACACAGCACACCCTCGTCAGCCCCTACAACGAGGTCCACTGGCCGGTCCCCTACAGCGACGTGAGTGGTGGGGCCACCTACACAGGGGCCTGTGGCCGACCTGACCCCGCAGCTGGCGGTGAGGGGCTTCCAGCTCCTTGGACCTTTGGTTCTGTCCAGGGTTAGATTTTAGTTTTCCTGCAGCTCCGGCTGGCTTCCTTTAGACATGCAGTGCAGCGCCGAGGCTGGGGCACTCTCTGCATGGGCTGGAGCTCTTGAGGTCTCCAAGTAGTGCTTTGGGTGTTTGACCTCGTCGCTTTGGGGAGTTCATGGCAGAGCTCTTGCAGGCCCTGGGGACTTGGGCTCCACTCAGAAGGGCTCTCCATATGTCCAGCAGGCTGAGTGTGTTGGCACACGCCTGCAATCCCTGCGCTTGGGAGGCTGAGGCAGGAGGATTGCAAATTCAAGCCCAGTCTGGGAAACTGGCAGACTTAGGAGAGACTGCCACACACACACACACACACACACACACACACACACACAATCAAAAAAGGAACTAGAGATGGAGCTCAGGGCAGGGGCTCTAGGTTTAATTCTCAGTACCACCAAAAAATAGATGTGGCCCTGGGTGACTGCAGGCCTGGCTCTGGCCCTGCGCTGCCCTGTGCTGCCTTTCAGGGCTGTGCTCTATTTCAGGGTGTGGGGCTGTACCCCGAGAGCAAGAAGTACTTCGGGCTGTCTGAGTTCATCGAGTCCACCCTTTCTGGACACAGCCTGCCCTTGCTCAGATATGACAGCTCCTTTGAGGGCATGGTCACCGCTCTGGGAAAAAGGTACTGTCTCCCTGGAGGCCTGCGTGCTCTGTGGCATACCATGTGGGTGTGATCCCCCAATTCCAGGACAGGACGCCTTCTTCCTCCCAGGGCTCCCCACCTCTTCAAGGGACCTTGGCTTCTATCTTCTGCATGTGAATCACGTAAGGCCACTGACAGCTTTCTCAAGGTGTTGCTCCAAATATTTTTATTTTAGTTTTTGTAACAGAGTCTGTCCATGTAGCCGAGGCTGGCCTCACGCTGACAGGGATCCTCCTGCCTCAGCCTCCTGAGTGCTGAGATCACAAGTGTGCACCACCATGCTTGGCTCAGAAAATTTTAAAGCTGAGGAAGGGAAGGCTTATGCTGGGATACTTCTGGCATGTGCATTTGTGACTCTGAGGAGGGCACGGAAATGAGAGACAGCTATAGAAAGGGTTGTCGGAAACAAGGCCGGTAACCACAGCAACTCTGGTTTTCATTTCTGGCAGGGATCATCCATTGGGTGCTTGGTTGATGCTCTTCACCACCTACCCAGGCCAGTTGCTATTATTGTTCTCATTTTGCAGATGAAGAAACTGAGGCTGAGAGACTAGGCGGTGCCAGAGCTGTGTGAGAACCCAGAGTTGATTTAACTTCATAGCCAGCTCCTTGCCTGCCTCCCTCCCTCCCTCTCTTCTTCCCTCCCTCCCTCCCTTCCTTCCTTGCTCTTCCTTCCTCCTTTCCTTTCCTTTCCTTTCCTTTCCTTTCCTTTCCTTTCCTTTCCTTTCCTTTCCTTTCCTTTCCTTTCCTTTCCTTCCCTTCCCTTCCCTTCCCTGCCCTTTCCTTTTCCTTCCTTCCTTCCTTGCTTCCTTCCTTCCTTTCTTCTTTTCTTCTTTTGGTTTTTCAAGACAGGGTCTCATTTTGTAGTTCAGGCTGACTTTGAACTCACTATGTAGCCCAAGCTGGCCTCAAACTCGCAGTGATCCTTGCAGTGATCCTCCTGCCTCAGTTTCCTGAGTGCTAGGATCACAGGTGTGCACTACTTGTCCTGTGATTTTTTTTTTTTGGTTCCAGGAACCAAATTCAGGGCTTTGTGCTTGCCAGGCAGGTGCTGTGCGCTGAGCTGTCTCCTCAGCACGCCTGTGATTTTTTCTTATTTTTTATTAGACCATGTCTGCAGTGCATAATGATCGTGTTCGTTGTAGGGTGCAGGGACGTCATGATTTTACGTCCCTCTCGCCTTCCCTCCCCAGTCTCTTAGTCCCTTCCCTTTTCCAAAAGATCTGTCTCCTGGTTTCCTGTGACCTAACTTTTATTTTGCTCTTTGTGCTTTGGGTTTCTCTCTTGAGAGAAGCCTTGTGATATCGAGCATCTGATTCATTCAACCTCATGCTGTGGTCCTGAGGTACACCCAGTTCCTTACACCTGAGTCCTTTGTCCTCGTTCATGGCAGAGTGGTGCTCCGTTGTGTGTAAATACATTACCTCGTCCATCGGTCTGCACATGGACGAGGAGCTGGCTTCTGGGTTTAGCGATCTCGAGATGTGTGCTGTGAACCTGGTGTTTGAGAGCGCTGTCCGAGAGCTCCCATTACAGACGAGGGGAGGGAAGGCTGAAAGCGACCTGGCCATCTCTCGGGGCGGAGCCCTGCGGAGCGAACCTCAGGGTTCCACCCCTCGCCGCCCCTGCGAGCCCTCGGGGGCTCTTGCCTCCCGGGTGCAGCTGGGCAGCTGCTCCGGCTGGGCGCTGCTCACCTCTGCTCGCACACCCATAGCGCTCGTGCCCAGGGTGCTTCCGGGGTGAAGGAAGTTGTGAAACACAACAGGAAGAGAAGCCCAGGCACGTCGGGCAGGTTCCCTGGAATGCCCTTTGGGAAACGGCGCCCTGGTCCGGGAGCGAGGCTGCTGCCCGCTCGCAGCTTGGCGCAGAAGCCCCCAGCTTTCACCTCCCTTCTCTGGCCGTCTCTCTTTCGCGGGCCGGCAGTGCTGTGCGTTGTAGACGCTGGCCCAGCCTCTGAGCTCGGGACTTGGAGGTCCTCCCCCGACTCCGCAGAGAAACTGAGGCTGGGCGCCGTCGCTTGTGGGCCACGTCGCTGCCCCTTGGCTCCAGAACCACGCTAAGCCCCGAGCCACACTGGCCAGGATCCCGCAGCCGGGCCTCGGCCAGCAGAGCCCACACCCGCCTCTGCGCTCTGTTCGAGCGTGTTGGGGTATTTTGCAAATGGGGATTGAATTTAGGGCTTTTCCCCAAGCTGCATCCTCAGCCTGTTTAATTTAATTTATTTTCCTTTTGAGATAGGGTCTTGCTAAGGCACTAAATTGTTTAGGACGGACTCGAATTTGCGATCCTCCTGCCTCAGTCTCCCAGGGATCTGGGTTGGCAGGGGTGCGCCACCATATCCCGCTTGTTCAAGCGTTTTACTCTGAGCAAGCTGCCTCACCTGCCCTGACTCTGTGCCCTGACCTGTATGGGGGTCCCCGGGCCCAGAGAGCGTGTCTCCTGGGGACAGGCGCACCAGGAGCTGGGGCTCCGGGATCGTTCCTCCTGGGCATGAGTCCTGGGTCTGTCCCTCCCAGCTGTCAGCTCTCAGTGAGGATGAAAATCCCCGCCTTGGAGGAGGTGACGGGCGTTACACGACCTCAACCTGCACAGCATGGAAACTGCCTAGACACGTTATGCGCTTCTCTTGGTTGCCATGCCCCTGAACTGTCACTTCTGGCTTCCTTCACCCTCTGCTAAACCAGATTAAACTGTGCGTGGTCGTGCTTGCCAGTCACCCCAGCTCCCTGGGAGGCTGAGACAGGAGGATCCCATATGGAGCCCAGCCTGGAGGACTTAGTGACTTAGCGTGCCACTCACTGTCCTCAGGTGCTCTGGGCAGTGACTTGTGAGCTGCTGTGTCCTGGGTGACCTGCAGCAGGGTGGGGCTTTGGCCTCCCGGTCTGCACAGCCAGGCCTCACACTGCTGTCTGGCCTGCAGGTTCCCCCGCCTGCACAGCGCAGTCATCAGGACCCTGGTCCTGGTCCAGCACTATGCAGCCGCCCTGATGGCCGTGCGTGGCCTCCCGCAAATGAAGAACCATACGTCGGTGGAGACGCTGGAGATCACGCAGAACCTGCTCAACGCCCCCAAGCAGTGTCCGCGCGGCCACGGGCTCATGGTGCTGCTGCGCGTGCCCTGCTCGCCCCTGGCCACCGTGGCTTACGAGCGGCTGGCGCATGTGCGGGCGCGGCTGGCCCTGGAAGAGGCCTTCGAGATCATCCTGGGTGACCCCGGTGCCAGCATCACCGTGGGCAAGCACTTTGTGAAGCAGCTCAAGGTGGCGTGGGGATCCCAGGCCGAGCGCTGAGGGGGGTGGTGAGAGGGCACGAGGGGCAGCAGGCCACCAGCCACCTGCAGGGGTGCACGCCTCTAAGCTGGCATTCTGGAGGCTGAGGCAGCCGGATCCCAAGTTTGAGCCCAGGAGCCAGATGTGGTGCACACCTGTCACCCTGTGCTCGGGAAGCTGAGGCTCAGGGCCACCTGTCCCCTCATGTCTGCAGCTGTGGCAGAAGATCGAGGACGCTGAGTGGAGGCCACAGACGTACCTGGAGCTGGAGGGCCTGCCCTGCATCCTCATCTTCAGCGGGACGGACCCGCACGGCGAGTCCCTGCCCAGGTGCGTGGGGGGCGCCTGGCTGGGCTGCACTGGCCTCGATGCGGGAGGTGAGGCAGGTCCTCATGGCCGGCTCCCAGCAGGGGCGGTGCCATGATCTGGGGTATGGACAGCGGTTCCCATGGTCCCGAGACCTCTGCTGGGCTCCTTGAGGGGCTGGGGGCCTGCAGCTGGAGTTAGGGTTCAGGGTGCACACCTTCAGTTCCCGTTAGACCCGAGCGGTGTTAGGAGGATCGCTGTGAGTTTGAGACCAGCCTGGGTGGCGTAATGAGCCCCTGTTCCAAAAACCAAAAAACAAAACAAAACAAAACAAAAAAACCAGTCAGCTTTAGAGCACAGAGAGCACAGAGTCCCAGTTTCCATCCCTTGAACAAAGAGCTGAGTTCAAGGCCCGCTTGGCTTGACGGGAAAGTCGGGCTGTTTCGATTACATGCAAAACTGTGCTTCGTGGCCGCCATCCCAGGCCTCCAGTGGAGCCGCTGTGTTGCTGGGGGCGCAGGCAGCGCTTTTCTAAGGGATGCTGGGGCTGGCCCCCCTCTGTGTGTCCCAGGTCCCTGCGGTACTGCGACCTGCGCCTCATCAACGCCTCCTGCCTGGCGCGCTCGGCCCTGGAGCAGGAGCTGGGCCTAGCTGCCTACTTTGTGAGCAGCGAGGCCCCCGAAGAGCAGGCAGTCAGGAGTGAGGCCCCTGACAGCGATGGGGAGAAGCCTAGCAGCTCGGACAATGAGGACGAGGAGGCAGGAACTGAAGGTGAGCCCCCCGCCACCCCACGGCATCCTGGGATTTGTGTGTGTGTGTTCTCGTTTTCCACACTGCGATGGCGACGATGTAGTAAATGCTCTGTGTCCCTGCTGCCTGAGGGGTGGCTGTGCCACCTGTGAGCTCAGTTCGGCTAAGAGTGTGGTGCACATGGGATTCCTAGAGAGTGGCAGATAAATGGAGAAAGGACACATGTCTAGGATCTGGGATCCCAGCACTCAGGAGGCTGAGGCGGGAGGATGCCCCTGAGTTCAAGGCCAGCATGGACCACATAGTGAGTTTAAGGCCAGACTAGACTGTGGAGCGAGACCCTGTCTGAAAATAAAAGGAAGAATGAGTGAGGAGCAGAGTGAGATGTGCCCCCACGCTGTGTGAGGTGCTGGGCGGGGACGTGAGTGACGCCTTGCCTTCCTGGTTTCCAGCGTGCTTTGAAGCAGCCTCCCCGGAGAGGCGCAGCCCCGTGCGGAGGGAGCGGTCCTGCTCCCACGACTCGGCGTCCTCCTCCCTGTCCTCACGCGTGTCTGGTGAGGGTCCACGCGGGACTGGCAGCCAGGGTGGGTCCAGCAGGCCACACGGCCTGTGCCCCATCGTCCCTGGGACGTCCCTGACCTGTCGCCTCTCCCCAGGCTCGGTGCCCTGCAGTGAGACTTCAGCTCAGCCCCCGGGGCCCATGCAGGGCGAGCCGGCCAGGTCCTCGCCGCCCTACGGCCCTGCGGAGGAGGCCAGGGCCCCTGTGGAGAAGCCAAGGCCTGATGGCGTCCCCTGGGCCGGCCAGCGGAGCCTACAGGTGCCGGCCGCCTCGTGCTCGCAGCCGGCCTCCTCCCCCTCCCCAGGGGCGGCCTCTGCAGGCACCCTGGTCCTGCAGGCCTCGCAGTGCTCCCTGGCCAAGGCCTGCCGCCAGCCGCCTGTCGTCTTCCTGCCCAAGCTGGTGTATGACATGGTCACAGCCACTGACAGCAGCGGCCTGCCCAAAGCCGCCTCCCTGCTGCCCGCACCCTCTGTCATGTGGACCAGCTCCTTCCGGCCCTTGCTCAACAAGACTATGACCTCCACCGAGCAGTCACTCTACTACCGCCGGTGGACAGTGCCCCGGCCCAGCCACATGGACTACGGCAACCGCGCCGAGGGCCGTGTGGACGGCTTCCACCCCCGCCGGCTGCTGCTCAGCGGGCCCCCACAGGTGGGTACTGTGCCTGTGGCGCAGGCTCTGGGTTGTCCTGGGGGTCACAGCAGAGGGTACGGCTAAGAGCGACAATATACAGTTTTCTTAGTTTCCTGTCGCTGGGACGCATAGCTCAAAGGAAGAGAGGTTTTGTTGGTTCATGGTGTCGTCAGGCTTAGTCCATGGTCAGCTTCCGTGGCGGAAGGGCCTGGCAGAGGAGAGCTGCCCGTCTCATGGCATCAAGGAAACAGAAGGGAGGAGTGGGGACAAAAGCCCACCCTTCCGGGCCACACTCAGTGACCTCCTGCAACCAGGCCCCGCCTCCTACAGCGTTCAGCCCTGAACTCATCCACGGTGGATCCACTGATGACACAGCGCCCTGTGGTCCCTCACCTTCTAAAGCCCAGCTCTGAACACACAAGGTTTTGGGGGACATCTAGGTCTGAACCATAACACCACAGTCTTTGCCATTCCTGTGGGAGAGTCTTCTGCCATGGCCCGGAGTGGGCCGGTGAGCCAGCGTGGAGTCACCTCCTGCTCACAAGCCAGGGGTCTTCCACTGTCTCACCAGCCTTTCCTGCTCTGCCTAGTTGGAGTGGAGGGAGCTGGCCTGTGGGTGCTTCTCAATTTCCAGTTAAGATTCTTCTTCCTACATGGACACGTTCACCTCAGTGAGCAATCCTGTGCGGTCTCCACAATCTAACCGTGAGGAACAAAACTTGCAGCTAGGAACTTGTGATCCTCCTGCCTCACCCTCCCAGAGTGCTGGGACTACAGGCATGCACCACCACGCCAGGCTCATGTTTTCCTTTCTGAAGTTAGTTATTTCTGTGTGCCGGGCTTTGCTGGGCTCCCGCTGTGGGACAGGAGCTGCTCAGGTCTGCAGCATGCAGTGCTGGGAGACTGGTGGGCCAGGCAGGGCAGCGAGGCCCGGGCGCGCTCAGGTAGGTAAGTGAGCGAACGGGACGCACAGTGAGTCTGCCAGCTGCCCGCCCGTAGGGGGAGTAGGGGAGTAGGGGCCTCTGCGACCCAGGAGGACAGAGAAGGATGAAGAGAGCTGCTCCTTTCCTGGGCTCAGGAGAGGAAGTGAGGTTTCATCTGACCGTCTTGTGCAAGATCCCTTGAGGATCTGTGTTCTGTGCGGTTGGTTCCTTTCGTTGTGAAGCAGGCTTCTCTCAGCTGTGAGAAAGCCCTTCTGAAGCATGGCTGGCAGCCAGGCCGGTGGCGTGCACCTGTCATCCCGGCACTCTGGGAGGCTAAGGCAGGAGGGTGGCGAATTCCATCCCAGCCCGGTCAACTTAGCAACTTAGCGAGACCCTGTCTGAAAATAAAAAAGGAAAGGGCTAGGGACGAGCTCAGTGCCAAGGCCCTGGGTTTCATCCCCAGTGCTGCAAAAACCATCAAAACCGCCATGGCAAGTGCGGGGCGGGGCTGACTTGGGTGACCAGCTCCTGCGGGCCTGGCGTTCCCGCGTCCCTACCCCACACCCGGGGCTCCAGGCCGCGCTCCGCAGGGGCGTGACAGGAGGTGGCAGGTGACCCTCACGCGGTGTCTCTGCAGATCGGCAAGACGGGCGCCTACCTGCAGTTCCTCAGCAACCTGTCCAGAATGCTCCTGCGGCTGACGGAGGTGGACGTGTATGACGAGCCAGAGATCAACTCCGGTGAGCAGTTGCGTGGCTGCCCTGGGGCTCTGCTGACTCCATCCATGTCCCCGGCGCCTGTCTCTGTGGCTGTCACAGGATGAGATTCTCCTCCTAATGCCTTACCATACTTTCCCTCTCTCAGCCCTTTTTCTCAGCTCAACCACAGAGGGCTTTGTAGGCATAGGATTACTGGTGCTAAATAACTTGTAACAGCTACATCTTGGAGGCAGTCTGTGTGTCTGTCAGCAGATGAATGTGTAAAGAAAATGTGTTTACACGCAGTGGAGTGCTACTCTGCCATAAACAAGGATAAACTTGAGACGTGTAGTGAAACAGATGCATCTAGAGACCATAATGTTAGGGGAAGTAAGTCAGACACATAAGCATAAATATCACATGGTTTCTCTTATATGAGAAACCCAAAGTATGAATAAAGAGTAAAATAGAAAGTCATAGGAAAGAAGGAGATAGATCTTCCGCCAAAGGGGAGGGGACCAGGAGATGGGGTCAGAAGGGGCTGTGAAAAGAATGAAGCAGTGCTGTGTCCAGTGCCAGGTCCCCTCCAGGACTGTGATCACCGTGTGCTGCACACACGTGCTAATAAAATACTTTAAATTTTACACAAGGCCAGCAGTGAAAGGGAAGAGGTCGGGCACAAGTGATTAGTGCCCGGGGAGGCCCTTCCGGCTGTTCCTCGCCGCCTGCCTCCTACAAAGCACCGCATTCCTCTTCCTGCGTTGCCACAGACTGATGCTGTCCCTTTGTCCTGACAGCTGAGATGCACAGGGGCCCAGTGGGTGGTGGCTGAGCAGGATGGGGACACACAGGGGGTACCTTGGGGCAAATGGGAAATAAATGGAAGGTGGGGGTCCCATGCCCCCAATGCCTGAGCACATGTCCCTGGCAGAGCCAGCCCTGCGCCCCTTTGTGGACCCATTCTCATGAGGTGCAGCTCCGGGGTGGTGACGCGGGCTGGGGCAGAGCCTGCTGGCCTCCCCTGGCGGCCCCGGCCCCTGGGAGTGCTTGGTGATGTGAGTCTGCCCAGGACAGAATGCAGAACTAGGGCCCAGCCTGGCCGGGCCGCCCCGCTACTCGACTGGGGCCTGAGGTCCCCATGGTGACAAGGGTCACCAGGTCACCAGGGCTATTGACTTGCTTCTGGGGAGAGACCGGTGATAGGGTCAGGATTGGAATCAACTTCTGCAGACATGCAAGTCCACTTTAAAGCGTGCCACTGCCTTGCCGTTCTCTTATAAAGGAGAGTTCGGGATGTTAGGGAGAGTCAGTGTGCACGAGAAGCGCTGGGTGTGTGTTTAACATAAATGTCTCCATCTCCCTTGGCGTCCTCCTCCTTTCTTTCTTTCTTTTTTTTTTTTTAGCACTGAGGATTGAATCCAGGGCCTCTGCACTGAGCAGCATTCAGCCCCTTTTAAGATTTTCTTTATTTAGAGACAGGCTCTCGCTGAGTCAGCAACTTGCCTGGGCTGGGCTGGAACTTGAAATCCTCCTGCCTCAGCCTGCCTAGAGTGTTGGGATGACAGGTGTGGGCTGCCACGCCCAGCTCCCTCCCGCGGGCACATACCCTGCCGTAATTCCGTACAGTCTGAGAGTATAATGAGCATAGCATGAGTCAGGGCACACTGACATCGCGTGTTTGTAGACGACGGGTTGTATAATGCACGTGTTACGTCATCTGAGCTGCACAACCCGATTGTGTGGCCACACGTAGCCAGCATACATTCACTGTGCGGCTGGTGGTACCTGCCGTGGGGACGCTGGCACCGGAGGTGGGAGGTGGGGTTTGGGCTGTGGGTGTTGCGAGCAGTGGCTGAGAGGGAAACTGCCAAGGTCCCTGGGTGCTGGCCCCGTGGTCCCTGAGTGGTGGCGCTGGAGGAGGCATGGGCTCAGGGCTTGGGCAGGGCCTGGGCAGAGCAGTGACAGTGTGCAGACAGAGCCCAGACCATGCTGGCAGGAAAGGGTAGAGCTGTCCCCTGACGGGGGGACATGGTCCCCTCACCGTCACAGTCCACAGTCCAATGGGACCTGGCTGGAACACCTGAGATAGGGCAATCCTCCTCCTCAGCCTTTCGAGAGCGCTAGAAGCAACTCTGCTCCTATCCTGTCCCCTACACAGTGAAACAGATCCTTCTCTCTCCCACGTCATGTTACCCCCTTTCATCCCTGTCATCGCGCAGGCCCCTGGGAAGAACCCGAGTGGCGTTACACCCAGCTCAGTGACCCCTGGCCCGACCTGGAGCTGTTCCGGAAGATGCCCTTTGATTACATCATCCATGACCCCAAGTATGAAGACGCCAGTCTGATCTGTTCCCACCACCAGGGCATCAAGAGCAAAGGTCAGACTTGGACTCTGCTTTACCTGCTGAGTCACTAAGTTGCCCTGCTTTGGCTGCTTGAGATCCTCCTGCCTCAGCTTCCCAGAGTTCTGGGATTGCAGATGCCCACAGTCACGTCCAGTTCATGGCCCCTTATATATTGATAGAATTCTGCTGAGCTCAGCTGTGTCTTATTAGTGATGAATCTGGGGGTGGTGACTGACCCAGCCATACTGTGTTCCAAGCCAAGAAGGCCACCGCTCCATGGGAGGAAGGAGCCACCATGATACCACCTTAGCAACTTAGCGAGACCCTATCTCAGAATAAAAGATAAAAAGGGCGAGGGAAGTAGTTCAGTGCGAAGGGCCCAGACTCAATATCCAGTACTGGAAAAAACACAAAATAATAACAGACCAACAAAAACCCCTTAATCTTGCCAAATCATTTGAAGAAAAAAAAAACTGAGACAATTCATCAGGATTTCAGCATTTGCATATTAAGTTGGCATTCAGTTTAAACTGGCATTTAGTAGACCTTTAAGTAGGAAGTGTGATAGAAATATGTGGTGGATATTAAAAAACTTTGTTACAGTAAAAAATGCATTACCGTGAATCCTCTCAGAATCCCCCCCCTCTTTGCACGCACTTGTCCTATCGTCCGTGCCACTTTCTGCAGCAGCTCTGGAGTCCTCTTTCCTGAGGGTCTTCAGCTGTGCTGTCCTGGCTGTCTTCATGTTCTGGATGAATTCAAATTGTCTCCTTTTCATGGTCAGTGTGACTCTGGGGAAGAGCGGGAAGTCACACGTCCCCAGATCCGGTGGCTGAGGTGGATGAGGGCATGGTGTCATGGTTTAGAGCCTGTCTTTCTGCTGGGTGGTGCTCAGCAGCGGCAGTCACCGTAGTTTTGATACCACCTGGCAGAGACACTCGGGGGCGGGATGGTGGCTTTGTCCCGTGCTCCGTGACTCTGGGGCCTTTGTGCAGACAGAGGGACCCGGAGGTCGGAGGACCCGCCCGCGCGGCGGCAGACAGCCCGGATGCGGCTGTCCAAGTACGCAGCGCACAGCACCTACCACCACTGCGAGCAGTGCCAGCACTACCTGGGCTCCCACCTCCACTACCAGGTAGGTGCCGGGCCCCGCCCATCTGGCCCCACAGCGACCGCCTCCTGGGCTGGACATCCGGTCTCCGTGTGCCCCTGACGCCCTCTCCACACGGCTACACTCCCTGGGGCACCCGCATCCCGGTTGCTGGCTGTCCTTGCCCTCAGGTCCTAGCAATTCCGGATGTCAGTTCGGTGCCATGGGCGCTCACTTCCTGTGCTTATGCCCAGGCCTCCGGACAGAGATGTGGACAACATCCTCAGGGCTGGGTCTGGGAGGGAGACGTGCACTGAGCGAGATTTCAGAACACAGGGATCCCTGACCTGAGGTTAAAAACCGCACTACTAAAGGGGGGAGTTTGCATTACTGAGCACCTATCGTGTGCAGGCCACAAGCCTAGCTGCTTTTCCTGTCAATCCTTCCCATATTCTTCTGTGACAGAAGATGTTTGTTCCAGCCAGACATGGTGGCACACACCTGTCATCCCAGCCCTCTGTGAGGCTGAGGCAGGAGGATCTCAAGTTCAAGCCCAGCACGGGCAACCTAGTGTCTTAGCAAGACCCTGTCTCAAAATAAAAAATAAAAAAAATATTTTTCAAAGTGCTGGGAATGTTGCTGTATGTGATGACTCTGGGTTCAATCCCCAGTACCAGAAAAAGAAAGGGAGGGAGGGAGGGAAGGAAAGAAAGAAAGAAGAGCCAGGCGTGGCGGCACACGCCTGTAATCCCAGCACTCGGGAGGCTGAGGCAGGAGGATCGTTGAGAGTTCGAGGCCAGCCTGGGCTACAAAGTGAGCTCCAGGTCAGACCAAACTGCATAGCAAGACCCTGTCTCAAAAAAAGGAAAGAAAGAAAGAAGTTAATTTGTCCTGGTAGGATGCAGAAGGGTAAGGTTCTCGGCCATGGCTCTGGCTGTCTCCGATTTGTGTTCAGGCCATACCAGCTGGGAAGCGGCCCTGCCTGGTTTCTTCCTTCTCACCAAAACCTCCTCTTCCTCATCTGGACATCCAGAATCCACCCTGATAGATGCTCAAACCTTCCAGGGGTCAGAGGAGGGCTGCTAACCTGGCAGAGCCTCTGCACATGTCCAGGTCCCAGACTCTCCGAATCCAAATACTTTCGGTCTGGGCACTGGGGGGGCGGGGCTGAGAGCGGGCTGCTGGGCCTGGCCCGGCGAGGCTGTCCTGGGCCCAGGTGGGGGAGGAGAAGGGACAGCAGGTGGCCAAGAGGGTCTTATGGCTCTGTGGGGACTGACGAGTGGGGCTGCTGAAATGCGGCTGTGTCTGGGTCACTGTCACATGGTGCCCTCGGCTCTTCTGCGAAGACCCCTGGTGCTATCGCACATCCTGCCTGCGGTGGAAACTGCATCACTGGAGTGTGCCTGGGCCATGCAGAGAGGGGCAGGTCCACGTTGCATCCTCACAGCAGGAGGGCTGGTGCCCCAAGTGACAGGCGGGGCTGCGCGCGTCAGGAAGCAGCACGGGACCGGTCTGCTGCCGCGTGCGGCTTGGACATCCGCGACTTGAGCATGGTTGCAGCCTCCAGGCCCCGGGGTCTGGGGCTGGCCGTGGCGTCTGGTGACAGCTGTGTCCTCTCCCTCGCCCCAGCTCTATGAGTCCACCCTGCACGCCTTTGCCTTCTCTTACTCCATGCTAGGAGAGGAGGTCCAGCTGCACTTCATCATCCCCAAGTCCAAGGAGCACCACTTCGTGTTCAGCCAGCCGGGGGGCCAGCTGGAGAGCATGCGCCTGCCCCTGGTCACTGACACGGTAGGCAGGCGCCGACTCGGGGAGGTGTAGGATGTGGAGCCCTGCTGTCACTCGAGCCTGTGTTCTCACCTGTGAGGCTGTGTGTATGTGTGTGTTACTGAGGATGGAACAGAGCCTTTGTACAGAGCTACATCCCCAGCCATTTTAATTTTTTATTTTAGACAAGGTCTCCCTAAGTCACTAAGTTGCTAGGGGGCTGACAGGCTGAGGCAGGAGGATCATAGTTCAAGCCCAGCCTGGGCAATTTAGCGACATAGTGAGACCCTGTCTCAAAGAGGGCTGGGGGTGCAGCTCAGTGCAAAGGCCCTTTGTTCCGTCCCCAGCATCAAACAAGCAAACTCAAAAGGAAGCCACCTCCCCTGGGTCAGGGTGCAGTGGTCCTGTGAATGCAGCACAGAGGGGACACCTGTCGGCAGCCTCGATCAGAGCAGGCCTTGTGCTCTGGCTGCCCTCGTGGATTCACAGTGGGAGCATCAGGAGTTCAGGGGCAGCCGGGGCCCTTACTGAGGGACGCTGGTGGTGACAGTCGCGGCACAACCCCCAGCCGCGTGTGATCAGCTGTGTGTGAGGGGGACGGGTCGTCACCCCTCTACTAGCACACGCGGGGTGTGCATGCCCAGGTGAACGTCAGCCCCGAGTCCCGCTTCCAGTGTAAGGTGTGGCGGATGCGGCCCAGGGACGGGCGCCTCCCGGTCTGTCTGGCAGAACAGACAGTCTCAGCGTTGGGGTGTCTGGTGGGGCGGTGCTTCTGGGCTGAGTTGGGCTCACGCCGTCACCTGGTCTGGCCCTGGTCCCAGCAGGCACCCTGGGGGGTCCCGCTCAGGGGGTGGCTCTGCCTCCAGCATGCTCAGGGCCAGCGGGGCTCATTTCCCTTGCATTTTATTAGCCAGACCCACTCCTACGTCCCCTGTGAAGTGGGCCCCAGCTTTCCACGTGCAACCCTGCAGAACTGCATCTCAGTCCGCACCCTGCAAAGCAGAGCAGAGCAGAGCAGACCAGCCAGACCAGGCCAAGCAAAGAGGAGGGTAGCAGCACCCTCAGTGACACACTCTTCCCGCTGTCCGCTTTGCAGAGTCAGGAGTGCATAAAAAGCCCGACCTTTACGCCCACGACCGGCCGGCACGAGCATGGGCTCTTTAACCTGTACCACGCCATGGACGGCGCCAGCCACCTGCATGTGCTGGTCGTCAAGGAGTACGAGATGGCCATCTACAAGAAGTACTGGCCAAACCACATCATGCTGGTCCTGCCCAGCACCTTCAACAGCGCTGGAGTTGGTAGGTGGTTGGGGACGCGCCCAACTCACGTCCACTGTTGTTAGAGGGGGACAGGAGTGTGGGCACACTGGAGAGGGTGCTGTCTCAGCCTCATGGGCCGGGGAGGCCAGACACATGCACCCTGGGCACTGGCGTGTCTGGCTGCGGCTCTGTGCTGAGCTGGACAGACAGCTGAGGCAGGACACTTCGGCCTTGCAGGCGCCGCCCACTTCCTGATCAAGGAGCTGTCCTACCACAACCTGGAGCTGGAGCGCAGCCGGCAGGAGGAGCTGGGCATCAAGCCACAGGACATCTGGCCGTTTATCGTCATCGCTGACGACTCCTGCGTGATGTGGAATGTGGTGGATGTGGACTGCTCTGGGGAGCGCAGCCGGTGAGGGCCTGGGTGCGGCGCTGCCTCTGACCACAGGGGCCCTGGAATCCCAGCACTCTGGGAGGCTGAGGCAGGAGGATTGCAAGTCTGAGTCCAACCTTAGCAGGAACCTGTCTCAGAATAAGAAAGAAAGAAAGAAAGGCCAGGGATGTAGCTCAGTGCCAGGTCCCAGGTTCAGTGCTGAAGCCTGCAAATAAATGTATACATATATAGATAGCAAGCAAGCCCAAGTGCCAAGCCCAGCTTTTTAATTAATTAATTTAGTTTTGAGACAAGCTCTCATTGTGTAGCCCAGGCTGACCTTGAACTCATGGCAATCCTCCTGCCTCAGCTTCCCTGGTGTTAGGGTTACAGGAGCGCGCCGCTGTGCACAGCAGGATGAGAGCATGCTTTGCCCAGAGAAATGCTAGCTGAGGTGCAGCCTGCGGCTTTCACACTGGGGTCCCTGCCCCCACCCGGGGTGGCACGCGAGGTTCCGTGCGCAGCGGTGCTGGGGTGGCCTGGTGGGGCGGCACTGTGGTCTGTGCCAGCCCAGGCCCACAAGCCGTGGTCCCGTGGGCAGGGAGTTCTCGTGGTCAGAGCGGAACGTGTCGCTGAAGCACATCATGCAGCACATCGAGGCCTCGCCCAACATCACCCACTATGCGCTCATCGGCCTGCGCAAGTGGGGCAGCAGGACGCGAGGCTGCGACGTGCGTGAGCCCTTCTCGCGCTGCCATGTGCACGACTTCATCCTCCTGAACGTAGACCTGACCCAGAACGTGCAGTACAACCAGAACCGGTGAGCCCCCCGGCCGCACACTGACCCCCGTGTCCAGGGAGGGTCGCCACGAGGTGTGATTGAAATATACGGTGAAGGTTTGAACTTTAAAAGTGTATTCCAATAAAAGACACATTGCCATGAGCCCCCTCAAAGTAGTCCCCTTGCTTTGAACGCACTCATCCCGTTGTCCTTGCTGCTTTCGGCAGCAGCTCTGGAGTCCTCTTTCCTGAGGGTCAGTGTCCTGGATGGATTCAAAACGTCCCTCATTCATGGTCATCTTGACGCTGGGGAAGAGCCGGAAGTCACACAGGCCAAAGCTGGTGACTGAGGTCGGTGAGGACGCAGCATTGTGTTTTTTTCGAGCTGCCTTTCTGCTGGATGGCGCTGGGCAGCAGCACTCACTGTATACGTCAGTCACTCCTTGCTGTGCCAGGTAGCAAGTGTGTGCCCTGACAGCCACTTAAATTGTCAGTTTTGGAGCCCGACTGATGGGCTCACAGCGCCTGGGCTCCATACTCAGGGCCTTTGTAGTGTGGGCAGCAGACTTCTCACTCAACCCATTGTCCTCAGCTGTTAAAGAAGCCAGGGCTGGGCTGCAGGTCAGTGGCAAAGGATTTGCCAGGAATGTTTGAGGCCCTGGCTTCATCCCCAGCACTGCAAAAAAAAAAAAAAAATCCACAGTTTTACCAGACTTTTGCATTTTTTAAACAAATGGAATGGTCAAAGGCATGGTATCCATACTTGGAATCCAGCACTTAGAAAGCTGAGGCAGGAGGATCTCTGCGAGTTTGAGGCCAGCCTGGGCTCCATAGTGAGTTCAAGGCCAGCCTGGACTGCGTAGTGAGACCCTGTCTCAAAAAACAAAAGCAACCAAAAAAATGGGATGATATCTGGTTTCTCGAGTGGTACCGGGGCATCCAGGTGCTGCGTGCCTGGCCCGGTCTCACGGCCCCCTCTGACCCGGCAGGTTCACGTGTGACGATGTGGACTTCAACCTGCGCGTGCACAGCGCTGGCCTCCTGCTCTGCCGCTTCAACCGCTTCCGCGTGATGAAGAAGCAGATTGCAGTGGGCGGCCAGCGCGCCTTCCATATCACATCCAAGGTGTGCAGGAGCCAGGCGGGGGAGACACCAGCCCTGGGCAGGGCCGGCCAGGGCTGCAGAGAGGCAGAGGACGCAGCTCAGGGCAAAGACCTCAGCCGCCTCAGACACCAGACGCCTTGCCCAGCCCCAACTTTCTGGTCCCCTCCAGCGCTTGCACAGTGCCCTCTGTGCCAGGTCAGGCCTGGGTGCAGACGCAGCCGCCCCATGGACGGGGCTCAGAGCTTTCTCAGGGAGTAATGCCCACTGCAGAAATGGGCAGGACCTTCAAACCCAAGACTGGAGCTGGTCATGGGGGCGCACGCCTGTGATCCCTGCACTCAAGGAGGCTGAGGCAGGGGGATCCCTAGCTGGAGCTCAGCCTGGGCAACTTGGTGACTTATCAAGACCCTGTCTCAAAATAAAAGAAAAGAAGAAAAGAAGAAAAGGCTGGGGATGTAGCTCAGTGTGAAACTGGGTTCAATCCCCAGTACTGCAAATAGAACAGAACAGAACAGAAGAGAACAGAACAGAATCAAACCAAACCCAAAACAAAAACCAACAAACAAAAATATGAGATTGGTCTTGCAAAAGAGTTGGGAGTTACTGAGTGAAACTGTTGCCTGCTGTTCCCACTGAGAACCTTAAAGTTGAAGTTATGTTAGATTTGCAGTTTAACTTAGAAAGATTTGACATCTGTCCCATTTTAAGTCTTCCTACCAAAGAGCTGGACTTCCCTTTAAAACCAATTTTTTTTTTTCCTATTCCTCAGTGTCATTTTTAACTCTTTCTTTTTTTTGAGAGAGGGTCTTGCTAGGATGTTCAAGGTGGGCTTGAACTTGCAATCCTCTTGCCTTATCCTCTGGAGGGCTGGGATTACAGGTGTGCACTACCATGACTGGCTCAAAACCCAATTTTCCTTACTGAGAATTTTATTCTTGAAGTATGCTCTGGTGGCTGGCTCTGGGATTCCACCCTACCTGCTCCCCACGCCACCCCCGAGACCTGGGCTGAGCAGTGGCCTGATATCCATCCGCCCACCACCCACAGGTGTCCGACAGCTCTGCAGCCGTTGTGCCGGCCCAGTACATCTGTGCCCCAGACAGCAAGCACACATTCCTTGCGGCACCTGCCCAGCTCCTGTTGGAGAAATTCCTCCAGCACCATAGCCACCGCTTCTTCCCGCTGTCCCTGAAGAACCACAGCCACCCCGTGCTGTCTGTGGACTGCTACCTTAACCTGGGGCCTCAGGTAACCTGGCACAGGGTGCTTGGTGCTGAGGGGCCCCCAGGACGAGGCACTGTGCTTCACAGCTGCAGCATCCCTCAGTATCCATGGAAACTGGTCCCAGGATCTCAGCATCCCTCAGTATCCATGGAAACTGCTTCCAGAACCCCAGCATTCCTTAGTATCCATGGAGACTGGTTCCAGGACCCCCTGGGTACCAACACCTGCAGCTCAGGTCTTTAGTATCACAGAATGTAGGGTTCGCTGCTAACCTTTGCACTTTAAATCATCTCTGGCTTGCTTATCCTACACAGGATATCCTAACACAGTGTAAGTGCTGGATGCATACTTACTATATTGTGTTGTTTAGGGATGATAGGAAAAGTTTATATGTTTCAGAGAACTGCAAGTATTTTTCTTCAGATATTTTTGTTTGGTGGTTGATTGAATCTAGGGACATGATGGGTAACAGAGGACTGGCCGTACCCAATGCCTGTCTTGGAGTTTACCCCACGTAATGGCTGGCAGAGTGGAGGCTGAGAGAGCTGAGCTGCTTTTGCCTAAACAGAAGATGTTAGGAATCAAACCCAATTGAGATGACAAGACATTTTTGGTTCTCAAAGGAGTTCATGAATATAGGGTGTGATTGGAAAATATGCTCAATGTTGAGATTTTTTAAAAAATTGCAGTAAAAGACACATTGCTCTGAATCCCCCTCACAATTCTCTCCTCGCTTTGAGCACACTCATTGCATTGTCCTTGCTACTTTCTGCAGCAGCTCTGGAGTCCTCTTTCCTGAGGGTCTTTGGCTGCCTCCATGTCCTGAATAAATTCAAAACATCTCCCTTTCAAGCTCATTGTGACTTTGGGGAAGAGCCAGAAGTCACACGGTGCCAGATCTGATGACTGAGGTAGATGAGGATGCAGCGTCACGTTTTTCTGAGCTGCTTTTCTGTGGGATGGCACTCGGCAACAGCATCACTGTATTTGTGATCCCACCTGGTAAAGACCCTCAGGAAAGAGGATCCAGAGCTGCTGCAGAATGTGGCAAGGATGATGGGATGAGTGTGTTGGAAGCGAAAGAAGTATTCTGAGGGGGATTCATAACATGTCTTACTGTTACGGCTTTTTTTTCTTTGGTACTGGGAATCAAACTCAGGACCTTATGCTTGCCAGGCAGACGCTTGTGCCGCTGAGCTATATCCCCGGCCCTTGTGTCTTACTATTATACGTTTTTAAAGTATTGAAACATTCACATATCTTTCATCACACCTCATAGATAAGTCTGGATTGGCCTCTGGAATTGGCTTTTAGGGTACAGATTTGGAAACAGCATGTACATGCTTCTTGCCGACCTGTGCTCTGCCTGAGCTGCTGGTCTCTGCTAGCTGTAGACCCCAAGGGTCATGCTGCTGAGTCCTCATGGACAGTGACAACCCTTGGCTTCCTATTCCGCAGATCTCCGTCTGCTACGTGAGCTCCAGGCCACATTCCATGAACGTCAGCTGCTCCGACCTGAGGTTCAGCGGGCTCCTGCTGTACCTGTGTGACTCCTTCGTGGGGGCTGCCTTTCTGAAACAGTTCCACTTCCTGAAAGGTAATCGTCTGCACCTGGACCTTTCCTGGAATGGCTGTTGTCAGCTGGTGTGTCTGAGACAGGACCCCTCCTCCTCGGCCTTATTTGCCAGTGGGTAAACCAAGGCTTGAGAGAGGACATGATTGGAACCATTAGGGAAAGTAGCAGCCATCTGGGGCTGGACCCAGGCCTCTGTCCTCCTTATACCTGACCAGTCGAGGCAACCTGTGTCTACTTTCTTCCGGGGGAGCAGCAGTGTCTTCACCTCTGCTTTCCTTTGCTACCCCAATCCTTTGCATTGATGGCCGGCTGTTCTGAGAAGCTCCTTCCTGGTCCGAGGTCCTGCAGTCTCCTTTGTCTCCTCTCTGGTTTTTCTCCTTTTCCTGACACAGTGGTTGAAATTCTGCATGCCGTTAGGAAATGATTTCTGATCGTATTTCCATCCTGCTCAGATCCTCACTGACCTTCCCCCGCCTTTAGTTGTCCTTCATCCTGACCTTCCCCTCTAGAGGATCTTTCAGGAGCTGGGTGTGGTGGCGCATCCCATCCCAGTACCTAGGAGACTGAGGCAGGAGGATTGCTATGAGTTCCAGGCCAGCCTCGGCTACATAGTGAGACCCTGCCTCAAAAAATCCCCTTTCCTAGTGCCTCTGCCCTCCCTTGCCACGCAGGTGCCACGCTGTGTGTGATCTGTCAGGACCGGAACTCGCTCCGCCAGACGGTCGTGCGCCTGGAGCTGGAGGATGAGTGGCAGTTCCGGCTGCGGGACGAGTTCCAGACGGCCAATGCCAAGGAGGACCGGCCGCTCTTCTTCCTGACAGGCCGGCACATCTGAGGGAAGCGTCGCTGCTCCTGTGGGGCTGGAGATCCTGGGCCTGGGCCTTAGGACAGTGACGGGCCTGAGACGCTACTCTGCCACTTGGTGGGACAGGTCCTGGCCCTGTGTCCCCAGGGAGCGGCCTGAGCCAGGAGGATGTGACCCTGGGTGAGGGACCCAGTCCCAGGCCCCTGGGCCAGGCCCTGTGGCCCCACGCTGTTCTGAAGCCGTTTGAGGAAGGACAGTTTGGCCTGCCATGGCCACGCCTGTGCTTTCTGGAACAGAGCGCCTGAAGGAGCTACAGTGTCTCGGGCGAGGCATCAGTATCAGCAGGCGGGCTCCACTGTGACCCCCGCAGAGCAACTCCAAAGGAACGGTTCACCTGGAGAGGCCAGAGACAAGAAAGAAAGGGGGTCATTCAGTAAGGATTACCGAGCAGCTTACAGGGTTGTCCTTTTAGGGGCTCGCCCCAGACAGCAAACCGAATGGGGTAAAACAGCAGCGCAGATAGGAGTCCACGAATCCTCACAAGCGATGCCCGGCCTCTCAGCAGGGGTGCTGAGAAAAGCTTTCTTCAAAACAAAACTTTAAAATAGGGTTACAGGGGTTGACCTGAAACTTGCCTTACAAAGGAAAAAAGAGCCAAATTTCTTACTGAAAAAAAGAAAAACAATAAAAACCACTAAAGTGACATGCAGTGTGAAGGGCTGGACCAGTGACTCCACTCCAGAAGCCCCGGGTCCACTGCAAGGGGCCCGCTCATCGTGCCTGGGGCCGGGTTTGCTCCTCGCGCGTTGGAGCGCCACCTGCCGGCCCGGCGCCGCTGCGGACCAGGGAAAGGCCGCCTGAGGTGAGGAAGGGACAGAGTGGTCGGGAAGATCTAAAAGCACAGTTCCAAGCCCCGACTCTGGCCTCCCCTGTTCAGATCTCTGCCGGCCGCCACACTGCCGTGGAGGTGGCCCACAGCGGAAGGAAGAGCTTGAAGATGCTAAAAAATGGGTCACCAAAATGCATCCTTCGAGGCCCTCTTAGACACGACGCCGTAAGCACTGTAGAGGACGCGATGCAAGAGGAAACTTACAAACGATGCCAAAGAACGTCTGCCTTTCCCTCCCCCAGGAAGAAGATAGAGTGACGGTGTAAAAGCTGTAGATCGGGGTTTATGAAATGACCTCCTTGTGTGTGCTGTTGTTCCTATTTTGGAATAAAAACTGACCTTCTTTAGTTAAATCTGTCTTTAGTACATAGGGGCTCCTTTGTCGTTCGTCGCATGTTATTAACTTAAACATCCCAACCCATAGTCTTGTGTGCTCCAGTCTCACAAATAAAACTCATAACTCACATATTTCTCTCTGGTGGGTATGAATCACTTTGTTTGAGAGAAAATAGGAGGGGTGGTCATCTCTGGGGCCCACCTGCTGAAAATCTCCTAGCATAACAGAAAGCAAGATTGGAAAGGAAATAAAAATGAAGGTGTATCACAGTGACCCATGCACACCGTGTTTATCGCAGCACAACCCATAATAGCTAGGTTTTAGAAGCAGCCTGTATGTCCATTAACAGATGAGTGGATAAAGACAATGTGGTGTTTATACACAGTGGAGTAGTACTTGTAGCAACATGGATGTATCTTTGTTTTTGTTACTTTGGTTTGGTTTCTGGAGACAGGGTCTTGCTATGTAGTTCAGACTGGCCTTGAACTCATTATGTAGCCCAGGTTTGCCTCAAACTCATGGCAACCCTCCTGCTTCAGCCTCCCAAGTGCGGGGATCACAGGTGTGTGCCACCATGCCTGGCAAAATGGATGAGACTGTAATGATAAGCCAAATAAACCAGACGCAGCAGATTAAATATTGCATAGTTTCTCTAATATGAGAGATGGAAAGTACAAATAATCTAAAGAGAAAAGCAAAAGGGAGATGGTAGGACACAGGGAAGTAGTCTGTGGAGACTAGAAGGGGATTGAGAAGGAAAAGGAGTAGAAAGACTAAAATGTGATTTAGTTCCCCAAAGATGACTGCAGTTATTATCTGTCACAGACGTATGCTCATACAAAAATTATGCTTTGAGAAATTCCTGAAGAAGGGGCAGGAAAAAATGGGAGATGGGGAGAGACATGCGGGAGCCATCGCCCGCAGTGAGCTAGAAGGGGCTCCAGGACACAGCCCATGGGCTGCAGAGGCGGGAGGAGGGGCTGGGGCCGGGGCAGCTGTCAGGGTGAGAGCAGGAGAAGCTCTCACCTTGGCTTAGACAAGCACAGGAGCCCCGCAGGAGGGGACACAGGGAGCGGACCTCTGTGCAGATGACCCGGGGACATCGCTCCCTCCCTGTGTGTCCTGCCCCGTGATGGCAGACAAAGTAAGTAAACAGGAATTCTCTTGGCCAAAAACAAAACCAGGAAAAACTCAAGAAACATAAGAAACATAGTTAGAGGAAGGAGGCAAGTTCTGTGAAGAAAATAAAAGCAACAGAATCCTATGATAGAAATATAATTGACATCAGAAGGAAGAGAGAGAATGTGTTTAAGAGCACAAAGATCAACCATAGGCGTGGGAAGTTACAAACCTCCGCAGGCAGGTGTCCCAGTCACTTTCCTCATGCTGATACCCAACCCGCAACTTAGAAGAGGGGCCATTTATTCTGGCTCGTGATTTCAGCGCACCGCAGGCTGCTGCAAAGCATGACAGCATGCTGGAAGGGTCTGCTGGAGGACAGGTGCTCAGGAAATGGGGACTGGAAGCGGAGAGAGAGGAGGAGGGGAAGAGATGAACCCTTCCTGGCCCCGCTCCCGAGACCACCGCTTCACACAGGCTCCGCCTCCTAACGCAAGGCGCACTAAGCCACCATCAGCCAACACTCAGGTGTAAAGTTAACAGTAAGCAAGGTAGCCAACAGCAGACTAGAGAGCCAGAAAGTAGGGTTAGTGAGTTGGGGAGACGGCAGCAGAAAGGATGCTTGTGAGCACTGCTAACCCCTAGTTGCTCCCCTCACTCTGTGGTGTCTCCCCTGGAGGTAGCTCCCCAGACCACCTGCATCTCCGTCTGGCATGTGCTTCCTGAATGGGTCCCTTCTCCCTCTGCTTGGGCCCTCACTACTCAAAGGACACCTCCTCAATGATGCTATCTCAGAATGAGTACCTACTCACATAGGACACATGTTTACTAATTAGGATTTGTGCTTTTTTGTCCTCCATCATGAAAGAAGGAATTTTGTAAGACACATGCCTTACTGTAACCTCAGAGCCCTGAAAATACCCGCTAGGTAGTATGTGCTCAATAAATGCCCATGGAGTGGGTTAACCTTCCATCATTGTGACCAAATACCTGAGGACAACAAGTTCAAGGAGGAAAAGATCTATGTTGGCTCATGGGTTCAGAAGGTTCAGTCCATGGTCGGGTAGTTCCACTGCAGTGGGTCGGAACATCATGAGTGTAGATGAGGAAAGCCGCTTATTTTGTGGAAGCCAGAAAGCAGAGAGAGAGGGAAACAGCCTTGGCTGTAGGGAGGCAGGGGTTGGGGATGAGGCAGTCCTTGAAGCCATACCCCTTCAGTGACCTGTTTCACCCAATTAGGCCCCACCTCATTTGTTTCCATCAAGTCCCAAGAATGCCATCAAGTTATGAATCTGCCAAGGAATTAATTCACCAATGACCTTCCAACATGCCCATCTCTGAATACATGAGCCTTGCAGGGGGCATTTCAGTTCCAAACCAAAACAGTGAAGGAATCCCTAAGTCAACAATAACCAACTGGAAAAAGTAATGAATAGAAAATTCCTAATCACCAGATCAACCAAATCCATAAAATAGCTAATATTAAACCTACCACAAAATTTGTAAGACCTCTGTGGAGACAGTTATACAAATTCTGTAAAGGAAACAAAGGGTTTAAGTGAAGACAGAGAAAACTATATCTCAGTGGAAAGTTTCCATATTAAAGACTATCAATTCTCCCCATGCCTTCCCAAATTAGCCTACAGGTTAAATACAAGACTAACCAGAATTTCAACTGGAATGTTTATGGAAGTGGCTTTTTGCAGTTGGGGCTCTCACTCTGAGTCCAAATGGAAAATAAAAGAGTTGCTAAGCAAATGAAGACCAAGATATTGCCTGCTTAATTGATGGAGCACATGGAGGTATATTGGTAGTACCCAGTTTTCTAATGCTGAAGGCAGAATTGGAATCATCTACCTGGTCCCAGGCAGCATAGACAGTGTGGAGTTTTGTCCCTAGAAAATTTACAGCATGACATAGAGGGGGCTGCAGGAGTAGAAAGATAGTAAATTGCCATGTTATGCAGGTCAAGTCCTCCTCCAAACACTATAAAATAGGTTATTACTTTGTCCATGGGGAAGCATAAATGTGGAGGCAGAGAGAACCTAGAAGTGTTACACTAATGGTGTTCCCATCATGTCGGAGTAAACACCTGAAGTTGAGAATAAATATTCCTGGTTAATAAATATTCCTGTTTTTAAATCTCTAACCTTCTAGGCTTGATCCTTAAGCTTATGGTCAGTATGGCTGATTCTCTGGGGGATGACTAGCTCTTGGAGAAAAGACTGTTCTTGTTTTTTTAAAGACCGTTCTCCCTGAAACCACTATTTTCTGAGAATGCTCCTGTCACGGTGCTGAAAACAGCAAGTGACTGTTTTCAGAAGGGAGGCTCCTCGAAACAGGAGGAGCCAAGGCCCTGAGCAGAGCCACTCTACCCATCTCAGTGATGTTCCGTGACAAGAACTGGAGACGATTTTTTAATTATATTAAACCACTGTGATTTCACCGCTCACTTGTTATGGTGGCATACATGAACGTATCCTGACTAATTGTCATTGTGACCAGTGCTTTCTGGAATTCTGCCATCTGACCCTGGGAGATGTTCCGGTTGACATGCTAACCAGAGGTGCTCCCATATTTGAACATTACGCCTCTCTTATTATCAATTTCTGGAGCACAACCAAAGTTAAGACATTAAAATACAAAGCAATCAAAATGTAATGTAAAATTGGTGTAAAATCCAAAGAAATGCTATCTATTCTTTAAGATAAAGGCCTGGCCTGTCCTCCCCAACTTCATGTGTCTCATTCTCAGCCAGGAATGTTGTAGAATCCTGCAGAGCTGGTGTTCTCAGCACTGGGACCTGGAGTCTGTCAGTGGTGTGAATCTTTGTAGGCCCTCTGATATGTGTTAATGCATGGAGAATTCCCTGATGCTCCTCAGATTTTAGATCCAATGTGTTAAACGAATCCATGGGATTATCACAACATTGGGCTTCCACTCATAGCATTTAGAAAATAAGGCAATTGCCAAAATATTTTGTCAGGCAAAATTATGTTCCTAGACTACATTATTTAATGTTGATAAACACCACAGCAGACTCCAGGTAGTACCTGTGTAGGGGTTGTAGAGAGGAAAATCTTTATGGTGTTGTCTGTGCCTGGAAGCCAGTATGAGCCTGTGGTCTGGAATCCATGATGTCTGTACTTGAACACAACCCAGCAACTCTCCCATTAAGGGTGAGGATGGTGCTTTCTTTCTCCTAGCTAGGGACACCACTATTTCAGGTTGCTTTCTCCTATCTCAAAGTATGACTTTTTAGGGACGATCAATGAGTGCCTTCTTCCAAGGTGGAGAAATTGCTCAGCAAGATGGTGGCCTGTAAGTCAGCTCCCGCCTGTCACAGCAGGAACTTCATAGGCTCACCTCCCTGGCTGACCTGGGTCCTCTGACATGTGCATGCGTGTGTGTGTGTGTGTGTGTGTGTGTGTGTGTGTGTGTGTGTGTGTGAGATGGTTTGTAGTCCCAGCCAGGGGCAGAACCTTGATGTGGCACTGCTCAGGGTTCTCATCCTGCCTCCAGGGAATCTTCCTAGCCTCAAGTTTCTTTGGGCTCCAGAATCACTTTTCTCAACCCTGGTGAGGGAGTCCAGGGATTTTCACGTGCTCCTACCTGACTTTCCTCTCTGTGGACATCCTTGAACCCATCTCCAGACATGATCCCAATCTGTATTTTTTTTTCCAATCTGTACTTTGGTTCAGTGTGTTCCTCCCAGGTTCTTTCCAACAGGGGACTGAGGGAACCATGAAATGGGGGTACATGCGCCACCTAGAAAGCTCATATACAATTCCAGTGATAGTGAGGCAGGAGATTATGGCCGAAAAGGGCTGGGGAAGTGGGCGTGGCCTTTTAATTACAGAGTTCCTGGACACATGCGCAGAACGTTTCCCAAAGCTCCGCACCAATCAGAGACTGCTATCTTTGAATTATGTCGGGGGAATTCAAGCAGGGAATTCAAGGACAACCTAGTTCTGAGGGGTGGAAGATAGAAAACAGGGCGGCCACTGAGCTCTTGGTCAGTGTGCTGTCCTGCACAGTGGTCCATCCCGCAGAGTGTTCCTCTTCTCCTGCGATTAATTGGCCCATACTTGCTCTGCAGAATGTTTCTTTTCTTTTCCCGTCTTCAGTAAATTTCAATCCCTGCTATCTTTTGCACTTATCTTGACCAGTTATTTTTTCAGGACAGAAATGAGTTAGAAGTCATCTCTAGAAGGAGACTCCAGCACCCCAGAACCCGGTGACAATAGGAAACTAAGCAACTCCGAGCTTAGATGGAGCTGAAAGGGTTGGTGTTTTGGTCAACAGAGCGCTCGCTGTTAATCGGAAATGTAGCAGGTCTGTGGTTAGTGGAGGTGCTCGGTTTTAACTCCCTTTCCTTGCTTTTCCCGATGTCTTGAGCTCTTCCTTGCTCTGTCTTTATGGATATTCCGGTGGGAAAGACCTCGGCTGGAATTCTTAGCCAGATGTCTGGGGGTGGGGGTTGACAGCTTGAAACCAGAGCTTTTGCACTGAGCTACATCCTCAGCTCTTTCTCGATTTTTTTTTTTTTTTCTCTTTGAGACAGGGTCTCATTAAGTCACTAAATAATCCAGGCTGAGCTCTAACTTGTGAGTACTGGGATTACAGACCAGACGGCATTTTAAATAGGAAGCCCCAGGTGCACATCTCTGAGAATACAAACACACCAGGTGTTCAGCCCCCTATTTCTTCTCTGAGGGGGCCCTGCAGAGCCTGGAGAACCCTTCCCAGGATACTCAGTACTCATTGAGATCCTCCCATACCCCAGGTCTATTCTGCAGAGTCCTGGAGGTCTTATGTCCAAGTCTAACCAACCAGGAAGTCCTCAAGCCCAAGAATAATGCTTAAACCAAACAGCAAAACTCAACTCTCCCTAACACAAGGGCAACTGGGGCCCTAAGTGTGTTTAGAGTAGGGCTCTGAGGTGCTGGGTGCAAGCATATTGGTGGCTGGGCACAGTGTCTTATGCTTGTAATCTCAGCACTGGGGAGGCTGAGGCAGGATGATTGCTGTGGGTTTGAGGCCAGTCTGGACTACATAATGAGTTCAAGGCCAGCCTGAATGACATAGTGAGACTTTGTCTCAAAAAAAATGCACATTGGTAACCCTATGTTTTAGTTGCTTGTTGCTGAGATAAAATACCCAACTTCCAAAATTAAGGGAGGAAAGGTTTATTTGGCTCATAGTTTGTAGAGTTTCAGTCCATAACCAGCTGGATCCAAGGCAGGGTGGCCTGGCAGATAGGGATTGCAGAGTGAAACAGTTCATGGTGGGCAGAAGGTAGCAAAGCAACAAGGGACCTTAGCAGCTTTTTTCTGCCACTTTTATATTCCATCTAGGCTACTGGGATTAGGGTGTCAAACCGGTGTACTGAGGTAGTAATCATATACCCTTAATCCCGGTGTCACACACTCTAGATCCAGCCACCTCTGAAAAGCCCCACAGATGACTGCATGAGGCTCTGGGGGGAAATCTAGACACAAGCCATAAAACCCTAGCACCTCAGAATGTGCTCTTATTTAGAAACAGAGTCCTTACTGTGTAGTTAGCTAGGTTAAGATGAGGGCATATTGGGCCGAGGATAGAGCTCAGTGGCACAAGCACCTGCCTGGCAAGTGCAAGGTCCAGAGTTCGATTCCCAGTACCAACAAAGAAAAAAAAGATGAGGGCATATTGAGCCAGGTATGGTGGCACACACCTATAATCCCAGCACTCTGGAAGGCTGAGGCAGGAGGATGGCAAGTTCAGCCCCAGCCTGGGCAACTTAGCAAGACCTTGTCTCAAAACACAAACATGGGTGGTCTTGTAACTCAGTGTAAACTCCCTGCATTCAATCTACAGTCACACACACACACAAGTCCTTAACATTTTACATTTACAACAATCCCTGCCTCCTGTTTTTTTTTTTTGTTTTTTGGGACAGGGTCTCACTGTGTAGCCCAGGCTGGCTTTGAACTCAGGGCGATCCTTCCACCTTAGCTTCTTGAGTGCTGGGATCACAGGTGTGTGCTACCATGCCCAACAATGTTATTCAATTCCTTTTTTTTTTTTTTTTGTACCAAGAATCAAACTCAGAGCCTCACACGTAGGAACTGTGCCACTGAGCTACACCTGTGGTCCTGTTATTCAATTCTTAAAACCCAAGGAGTGGTTGTTGTGATGCCCATTTCACAGGTGTCAAAATGAGGCTAAGCAGGTCAAAGACTTGTTTAGGTCACACAGCAAACAAGTGGCAGAAGCAGGATCGCCTGTCTGACCCTAAATCCCGGTTCTGTGCTCTTTTTATTTTTTTCAGTACTGGAGGTTGAATTTGGGACCTTTGCAATGAGCTCTGTTGCCAGCTCCTTACTTTTTATTTATTTACTTGTATCTTTGTTTCTTTTTTGAGACAGAGTCTTGCTATGTAATTCAGGCTGGCCTTGAACTCATTCTGTAGCCCAAGTTGGCCTTGAACTGGCAGCGATCCTTCTGCCTCAGCCTCCTGAGTGCTAGGATGACAGGTGTGAGCCACCATGAACGGCTCATCAACAAAGCAGAGGCAGTGGGTTTCGGGGTCCTTCTTTCTTCAAAACTGAGTGCTGGGCCAGGTGGTGCTAAGGTGGAGGGAAGGGGACCAGGGCACTACCTCTCTCTGGGTTGCCTACAGCCTTAGCAAACCCAGCATCTTCTTTGGTGTGATTTGGAGGAAAAACCATAACGTAATTTCATCTCTGGGATTCTTTTCTGGGAATTGCTTGAGTGTGTTGTGTTACTGCGGTGCCTTGCGATCCTTGCTTCTCTTGGCTTCCGTTTCCCCATATCTGCCATGGCTGTGGTAATACAGGTGGAGCATGCTAATTTGCAAATCCAAGCCAGGTGTTGTGTTGCACATCTGTAATCCCAGCACTTGGGAGGCTGAGGCAGGAGGATCACTGCCAGTTTGAGGCCAGCTTGAGCTACATAGTTTAAGGCCAGCCTGGACTCCCGAGCAATACCTTGTCTCAAACAAAAAACAAACAAACAAAGAAACAAAAACCCCCCAAACAAAGCAAAATGGAATCGAATAATATCATGAATATCAAAAGAAGCTTGTAGGACATCTGAGTCCAAGCCCTAGGGGCATGAAAGTGTAAGAGAAAATGGCCCCCCTAGCCAGTTACTTCAGCTTCTTAGTTGCCCAGGTAACAGTTCTTGCTACAGTTGCGGTTGCTCCTGTCTCCTAGAAACAGCTGGTCACTCTGATGCATATTGTAAGAATCATCAAAGACAGCCAAGTACTCTACCTCTGTACCCGCCTTCTGCAGCCCCATAAAAACCTCCCTCTCAGGGCCTTTGAGGCCTGACATTTTGAAGGATAATTGAGTCCTTGTCAGTGCCCGTCTGGCATTAAATAAATCTGCCTCCGAGTCCTTGGTGACGTTTTGGTGTTTCTGCTTGCCAGAAACCTTGCCGGGTGTCCGGGATCCCAGAAAAACAGCAGAAAGTCCCAGCTACAATTTACTGAGTGTTGATTACCCGCCAGGCACAGTGCCGGGCACGTGGCTCTTAGCCAGTCCTTCAGTGGGCCTCTTTCTTCATCCGGTTTTCCCCTGGGAAGCAGTGGGAGCTGCTGTGGCAGGCAGCGAGTGGTAGGCGTGTGAGTTCTTAGTGGCCGCGGGGCAGGCCTGAGAGGCGGGAGGTTGAGTCATCGTGCACTGTGCTTATTCTTGCATCTCATCCAGGTTGGGGTTCCGGGGGATCCCCAGAGCCTGAAGCTGTATCTATTGGGAGTGGGGAGACGCTGGGGCCCCCATAAGGAGGTGGCCCTGACACAGGGCAGTGAGGGCTCCCAGAAGAGCTTCTGGGAGGAGGAAGACATGACGTTATATAGGACCGGGGTCACCACACAGCCCACGGAGAAGAGGACACTGGTCACTGCGTAGAAGCAGTGGTAAAAATTGTAGAGCAAGCTGGAGTAGAACTCCGGGGCCTGGCTGCAGGGCTGTCCCCTCATCCCCTGCCCCCCTTTCCTGTCACACAATTCCTGTTCCTTCACAGTGTGAATTTGGGGTCTGTCCCGTCCCCACCAGCTGTGGACAAAGAGATGTGGCTTCACTAGGAATCAACAGTCTGTGTGAGAAACCGAGCTCTTCTTGTGGGTTCTCTCCCCCGGGGGGACCTCGGCATGGGCACACGTGGGCACACGTGTGTGTAGCAGGCACTGGTAGCTCCCGAAGGCCACTGTCCACACAGCTGTGTCCGCGGAGGCTACGTGGTCTTTGTTCGGTTGGGTGTCTGGTTTCCACTTGCTGCAGAGACGCAGTGAGTTCCGGGAGGCAGACGTACCAAGGAGTTTTCTCTTCTCCCCTCCTGGAGCCAGGCAGTCCACAGCCCCCACTGCCATCCACAGAGCTCACCCGGCAGAGCGGGATCTAGTGCATGCCCCCTCCCTGTCCCACCCAGGACACTGGGACACAGACTTGGCAGAGATGCGGAGACCCCAGCCCAGCCGCACAGGTCCTCCAGTGCCCACACATCCTCAGCGATATAGCGGAACACGAGCCTACGGCCACGACACGGCAGCCAGCAAATGACATACACGGCCGCGATGGCTCCTGCAGGACCAGTGGAGCGGGGAAACAGAAGGCAAACACGGTTCAGGTAAGCTACCTCCAAGG